GGGAAGGATTGAAGGTGGGAGAAGGGGACAACATAGGATAAGATAGTTGGATGGCATCACCGACTTGATGGCTGTGAGTTTGAGTAGACTCCGGGAATTGGTGATGGACAGGGATGCCTGGCATGCTGCAGTCCATGGGGTCACAAAGAATCGGACACGACTGAGCAACTGAACTGAACTGAACCACAAGCAATGTATGGGTCTTGTTTGAATCCTGACTCAAATCAGTAATACAAAGAAATTTTTTAAACAACTGGGGAAATTTAACTATGGAATGAGTATTAGATGATATTAAGGAATTACTGCTAGTTCCCATAGTTGTATAATAACAATATGGTTATGTAAAAGAGAAAGACCATTTGTTAGAAATGCATATTGCGGTATAAGTGCAATAAGACTGATGAAATGTTAACTATTATTGTAGCAGGGCAGTCATTGTTTTTTTCTACTTTGTATATATTTGAAATTTTTCATCATAAAAAATTAAATTGATAGGGCAAGTCAACTAAAAAGGAAAAAATAGGAATAAGAAAAAAAAAATCCTACCATCCAGGGAAGGCTTGTTTACAAAACCGAAGGGATATCTGGTAAAAGTCCTTGACTGTGGCAATCAATCCTGGCAGCAAATCTGAGCTTATCTCATGCACACATCCTCTGTTTCTGTGCAACACGTATGAAGCACTCAGATGGGTCCTCGGGCAGGAAATTGCAGGGTTTTGTTTTTTTCTGTTAAGACTGTTGCCGTTTAGCAGCACTACCCTGCAATAAAACAATTCCTCAGTCTCAGAGTCATCCATTGCTGCCATAAGATTGCAAGTTAATAAGCTAATGGCCAAATTGCCTGTGTCCTGCTAGCATTAGGGATGAAGTAGCTAACTGCAAGCTAAATCAATGGAAACCCCTTCACAGACTGTAAACTCTGCTTGTGGGGACCACTTTTACCTTAATCACTGTCAAACACCTGTGACCAGCATGGTAGCTGACCCCCATTAAGCACTAATGTTTAATTGAACTGAAACCCCAGAGGAAAGAGACCACAGTAATTTGAATGCTACTTAGTAAGAAAATGTGCTGAAAGATTATGGAGATAAGTTAAGGGACTACTACCTAAAGATAATAATGCTCCTTTGCCAGGCATTAGAAATTCAGGTATTAGAAAAGGAGCATTGATGAGGAAAAATAAGAAATAATAGAAACCCAAAGCATCAGGTCAAGGTAAGATTAGGAGAGTGAAAATTTGTTTCACTTGCCTCCTTGTTTAATGCAGTATTTAGAAAACAAACAACAAACAAAACCCTTTTCTCTATGCTTTGTATCCTTCCCCTTCACACTATCTTGAGTAACAGTGAGTACAAGTTCTCATTCTACACACTGTGGGATGTCAGGGGGCTGGCAAACTCAAAACCTGTCATTACTAAGGTTATATCTAGTGATATGTAATATATAGGACCCTACATTTTCCCTCCTTTGTCTAAAAATGACACTCTAGTAAACTTTGTCACTTACTTTTAAGTGTCAGCAGTTAGATGAGTAGTTCCTAATTTGAAACTCCTAGTGGATGGGAATGGGCAAAATTATTCAGATGGCCATTATATCTACTACTTGCAGTAGATAGACAAGAATCCCTTGGAACAGATGGAGTAGTCTTCTTTGTCAACAGAGTCCAAAAGGCAGTACTTTGATGCAGTCTCAAAAGCGAAAGAATGATCTCTGTTTCCAAGGCACCATTCAACATCACAGTAATTCAAGTCTATGCCCCAACCACTAATGCCAAAGAAGATGAAGTTCAATGGTTATGTGAAGACCTACAAGATCTTGTAGAACTAAAACAAACAAACAAAAAAAGATGTCCTTTTCATCATAGGGGACTGGAATGCAAAAGTAGGAAGTCAAGAGATACCTGGAGTAACAGGCAAGTTTGGCCTTGGAGTATGGAATGAAGCAGGTCAGAGGTTAATAGAATTTTGCCAAGAGAATGCACTGGTTATAGCAAACACCCTCTGCCAACAACACAAAAAATAACTCTACACATGGACATGACCAGATGGTCAACACCAAAATCAGACTGATTATATTCTTTGCAGCCAAAGATAGAGAAGCTCTATACAGTCAGCAGATACAGGACCAGGAGCTGACTGTGGCTCAGATCATGGGCTCCATATTGCCAAATGCAGACTGAAATTGAAGGAAGTAGGGAAAACCACTAGACCATTCAGGGATGACCTAAATCAAATCCCTTACTATTATACAGTGGAAGTGAAAAATAGATCCAGTGGATTAGATCTGGTAGAGAGAGTGTCTGAAAAACTATGGATGGCGGTTCATAACAGGTAACAGGAGGCACTGACCAAAACCATCCCCAAGAAAAAGAAAGGCAAAAAGGCAAAATGGCTGTCTGAGGAGGCCTTTCAGATAGCTGAGAAAAGAAGGGAAGTGAAAGGCAAAGGAGAAAAGGAAAGATACACCCATCTGAATCCAGGGTTCAAAGAACAGCAAGGAGAGATAAGAAAGCTTTCCTCAGTGATCTGTGCAAAGAAATAGAGGAAAACAATAGAATGGGAAAGACGAGATCTCTTCAAGAAAATTAGAAATACCAAGGGAACATTTCATGCAAAGATGCATAATAAAGGACAGAAGCAACAAGGATCTAACAGAAGCACAAGATATTAAGAAGAGGTAACAAGAATACACAGAAGACCTATACAAAGAAGGTCTTAGTGACCTGGGTAACCACAATGATGTGGTCATTCACCTAGGCCAGACATCCTGGAGTATGAAGCAAAGTGGGCCTTAGGAAGCATTACTACAAACAAAGCTAGTGGAGGTGATGGATTTCCAACTGAGCTATTTCAAATCCTAAAATAATGCTGTTAAAGTGCTGCACTCAATATGTCAGAAATTTGGAAAACTCAGCAGTGGCCACAGGACTGGAAAAGGTCAGTTTTCATTCCAATCCCAAGAAGGGAAATGCCAAAGAATGTTCAAACTACTGCACAATTATGCTAATTTTACAAGCTAGCATGATTATGCTCAAAATCCTTCAAGCTAGGCTTCAACAGTATGTGAACCGAGAACTTCCACGTATACAGGCTAGATTTAGAAAAGGGAGAGGAATCAGAGAGTAAGCTGCCAACATCTGCTGGATCATAGTAAAAGCAAGGGAATTCCAGAAAAACTTCTGCTTCATTTACTACACTAAAGCCTTGACTGTGTGGATCACAACAAACTGTGGAAAATTCTTAAAGAGTTGGGAATACCAGACCACCTTGCCTGCCTCCTCAAAAACCTGTGTGCAGATCAAGAAGCAACAGTTAGAATCAGACATGGAGCAACAGACTGGTTGCAAATTGGGAAAGGAGTACCTCAAGGCTCTATTTGTCACCCTGCTTATTTAACTTATATACAGAGTATATCATGTGAAATGCCAGGCTGGATGATGCACAATCTGGAATCAAGATTGCTGGGAGAAATATCAATAACTTCAGATATGCAACACCCTAATGGCAGAAAGCAAACAACTAAGAGCCTCTTGATGAAAGTCAAAGAGGAGAGTGAAAAAGTTGGCTTAAAACTCAACATTCAGAAAACTGTAATCATGGCATCCAGTCCCATCACTTGATGGCAAATAGGGAAAAAGATGGAAGCAGTGACAGACTTTATTTTCTTACGCTCCAAAATCACTGCAGACGGTGACTGCAACCATGAAATTAAAAGACGCTTGCCCCTTGGAAGAAAAGCTATAACAAACCTAGACAGCGTAATAAAAAGCAGAGATATCACTTTGCCAATAAAGGTCCATATATCAAAGCAATAGTTTTTCCAGTAGTCATGTGTGGATATCAGAGTTGGATCATAAAGAAGGCTGAGCACCAAAGAAATAATGCTTTCAAACTGTGGTGCTGGAGAAGACTCTTGAGAGCCCCTTGAATAGCAAGGAGATTAAACCAAGCAATCCTAAAGGAAATTAACTCTGAATATTGACTGGAAGAATTGATGTTAAAGCTGAAGCTCCAACACTTTGGCCATCTGATGCGAAGAGCTGACTCATTGGAAAAGACCCTGGTGCTGGAAAAGACTGAGGGTAGGAGAAGAAGGAGGTGACAGAGGATGAGATGGTTGGATGGCATCATCAACTTAATGGACATGAGTTTGAGCAAGCTCCGGGAGTTAGTAAAGGGCAGGAAACCTGGCGTGCTGCAGTCCATGGGGTCACAAAGAGTCAGACAGGACTGAGCTACTGAACAACAACAAGCCCTATCTCAGGGAGAATTAGTAAAATAAATAACATTAAGCCATTTTAAATTCAGAGAGGAAAGGCTCTGTGAAAACATGAGATACTGCTCCTCAAACACAGCTTAAACTTTGTTTCTTTAGTAAGTTTTGATACCAAAGACCATAATAAACCAGACTTGGAAGCTTGCTTTAAGAGAATATTGTCCTAATTCCATACTGATCCCTACTGCTTTTTTGTGTGCTATTATAAACTCCTTGACCACCTGACAAAGACATTTTCTAAAGATCATTTTCCAGAATTAGACTTTATCGTGTTCTCATTTAGTATGCTATGCTATAGCTTCAATATCATGAAATCAATTTCTTAAAGTCACAAAACAAGATTTTGACATGAGGGGATGTCCCTCTTTTAGAGTTCCCTTCTGGATAAGATACTGGAGGCCTCATTGAAGGGAAGTCGTGAGAAAAAAACAATAGGAGGATGAGGGATTGTGAGGGTTTTTGTTTTTTTTTTTTTCCTGAAGAAAAATATCAATAAAATAACTCTTGACAATGTAAAACAGTGCCTCTATCTGGGGTCAAGGCCAGAGCAATGGACACCTTATCCCACTCATCCTCTTCCTCTGATAAAGCCCCAACCAGTACTAAAAAGTCTTTTTCATAAGAGCCTAGGGGCCTTTTTCAAAAGTGCTTGAAAAAGAAGTAGACAAAGGAAAACTGAAATCAAGAGGATTTTCCAGTCTGTCTCTGGTGCCTCGTCCAGAAGGATGCCTCAGTTCCTGCTTTTCGCCTGCCTCTTCATCATAGTAACACTTGGGTCACCAAGGGGTAAGTCTTGTGTCAAGTACTTGGCACAATATTTTTTTGTTGGAGGGATTTGCTGTTATGTACAGGTTATTAAGAGCAAGATTCCAGTATCTTAAATACTGGTTCTAGAATAGTATAAGAAAAGTCACTGATAACCTATGGAGATATGTTTTCAGAGAATTTCATTTCATGTTCCATTTAGCCTCTCACCTGGGCATCCAAAATTTCCATGGATCTGCCAAATCCAAACAACTTTCCACGAGCTAAATATTTCTTGGAGTATGTACAAAAGGAATTCTAACCTCTTTATTTTCTAGGCACTTTTATAGTCCTAACTTTAAGGGCAAAAAAAAAAAAAGATTTTCAGAGTGGAGGATAGAGTTTCTCCTTTAACAAATACAAAGGACTGCCGTGCCCATAAAGGCACAGATCTGGATAAATGAGACTTCTTAGGCTTGACATCTTAAAATATGACTTTTGCACTGGCTGACTGTATCTTAAACTCTCTCCCCCTTCAGCTTTGGTACAAAACAGGCCAACAAAGCAAAGTTTTCATTCCAGTCAGTAACAATTTTCTCTCTCCTTTTCCCATTACTATTTAAGTTCTAACTAGAAGACAGAGTGAGAGGAGGCTGAGATGATGAAGAAAACCATACTTCTTGGCATTTTGGGGAAGCTCAGTGTTTAACTGCCCCTATTTCTTTGGGGTAACTAAGGCCTTGCTCTAGTACCTTTAAGAATAAACATTAAAACGAGGCTTGAGACAGTAAGGAGACATGGAAAATTAAATGTTATGTGGTATCCAGGATGGGATCCATGGGACAGAGAAAGATACAGGCAAAAACTAAAGAAATCTTAATTGTGGACTTGAGTTAAGGTATCAGCAGTGGTTCATTAATTGTGGCAAAGGAAACCATACTCAAGTATGATTATTTCATGACGGGAAACTGGGTGCCAGATGTGAACTCTTTATACAGTCTTCTCAACTATTCTCTACATCTAAAACTGGTCTACATCTAAACTGTCCTGAAGATAGGTTTGAGCCAAGTTTAATCACCCTGTATCTGCTGCCAGTAAGTAACCAAGAGTTGCTTGAGCCAAAGTCGTCCTTCCCTCAACTTCATCTCTGCTTTCTCCCCACTCTCCCCCCGGCTTAACTGTCCATTACCTCCTGTACCCTCCCATCAGACGCGTTCTCCCTTCTTAGATCTTTTTTATTTTATTAAATTTTTATTTTCACCATCACTTCTAGGACGTTTGACTCCAAGCCATAAAAAGGGAAAACTTTAGGGTCTGGGGGTTGAGGTGGGGGTGAGGTTTCCTGGGAGGAAAGGGGAAGTGAGAAAAAAGGAAAAGAAGGGCCAGAGAAGAGGGGAGATGGGAGGGGAGGAAGTGAAGGGTGACAGGGAAAGGAGAGGATGGGTTTCTCTGCTCTCTGCTTTCGGCCGCTGAGAGGTGCTGGCCCCCGGTTGCATGACATCCTCACCACTTCCCGGCTCCGGGGATACGGGAGGGGCAGCTGGCCAGGGGGCTGATGGGTGAGAATCCTGGTAAAGGCTGACTGGCTCTCTGCCAGCCAGGCCGCCTGACTTGAACTTCGAGAGGAATCCACCCGGCTGTTCTCATTTGAGGAGTGTATATATGGGTATGTGTACATATATCAGCAATTCAGGATGCAGCATGTATAATACCGAATTCTGGCCTCCACACTGAGTCTGAAAAGAGGAATTAACACCAGCGGCCAGATTATTAAAGGATTGAAGTACTCCCTTAAAAGGGGGGTGAGTGGAATGGGTTTATTTACTGTTAGAAAATATTGCATGAGTAACTTTTAATATATGTTTATTTTACAGAAGATAGTAAATTTCTATTTGTGCGATACATCCCTACAAGAGAAGAAATAAACTTTTAATGAATAGCACAAGAAATGATAGTTTATTTAAGGAAAAACTTTATAAATCATGAAATAGTTATTGAGGGAGGTTTAGGAATTTCTGTAAAAGCTATTACAAGTTGAGTGCCTAACCATTTCTTGTAAAATTAGAGCCAAGGAGATGAACCAAATATTTCTATGAATATATAATCACCTGTGAAATTGTCCTGGAAACCTTTCTTCATAACAGAACCACAGCTGGGAGAGCAGATGAGGGAATGTTTCCCTTTTCAGACAGTAGAGAGTCCATATGTGGACATTTCTTCCCCTCGAGGGACATCAAACCGTGGTCTAGGACACAGTTGGGGTATCTCAGGGACATTTTAAGGAGAGGGTTGTGCCTTACATGTGTAACTCTACAAAAGTTTTTTTTTTAGAATATGCAATATTCTACTTATTTCTTGTCCCTGTTATATTCTCAGTGGGGCACTAGGCTACGCCCTCCTCTACATGTGACTGAAATTTTGAGAGTAAACTTGAATTGGAAATGTAGACTGGGAAAATTCAAAATATTTTCTTGACAACTTATCAACAAGACCCATCACATTTAATTATTATGCAGTATTTACTAAAGCTGAATTTCCTGTCCACAAAGTTTACTGGCCTTGATATGAATTCCCTGCCTACAATGTTAATTAAATCAGCCTCACGTGCATTAAGAAGGATAGTATCCTCCGGCTAGGTCTCCTTTCTAGAATTTCTTGATTTTATTGTAAGATTCTTTATAAGCACAATTTGCCTATGTTATTTCAGCGTTTTCTTGAAATTGAGAGAACCAGTGAGAATACTGGAGATATTGGTGTCTTCAGTCATTAAAATGGTTTTGATGAGATACTTGTCTATGTTATTTATGCCTTAAAAATGCATGCTTGAAATGTTGCTGTATTCTAGACAGTGATGCCATGGCTAATTGTGGAGACACAAAGTTCATGATATTTTCAATAAGCTGGTGGAACATGTACCAACATTCATATGGAGACTATCCTTGGTAATTACTTGCCACTATACTGTATATTTCAAAGCATATGCCAGAGGCCTTTTACTTCTCAGCAGAATAAGTTTACATATTTATTATCAAGCCAAACTGCCTACTAGTACAAAATTCCATCCATAATCTTGCTTATAAATGACCATTTAGTTGGATCGACCATCCGGTCTTTTTCAGAATTTCCAAAGATGAAGAGCCTACCACACTGTGATACAGCTTCTCCATTACTGGGCTTCCCAGGTGGCACTCATGGTGAAGAACCCACCTGCCAATGCAGAAGACATAATAAGAAACGCCTGTTCAATCCCTGGGTTGGGAAGATCCCCTGGAGAAGGGCATGGAAATCTACTCCATGTATTCTTGCCTGGAGAATCCCATGGACAGAGGAGCCTTGCAGGCTACAGTCCATGGGGTCACAAGAGTCGGACACGATTTCGTGATTAAACCACCATTACTGGATAGCTAAACTGAAATGCACTTCCCCATAACAATTTGTTTTGTCATTGTAACAGAATACCTAATTCCTCTTTCACAAGCTTTTCCCAGATTTTTTGAAAAGTAATACATAATATACAGGATTTTTTTTTTCTCCAAATAATAGTTCTCAGCTTCTTCTCCAGTAAATAATTATTAGGCTCCCTTCTAAATCTGGTCACCACCCTCTGGACATCAGGTTTGTTCATTACTTTCATAAAGTATAGCCTCCAGATATGAACACAGTACTCAAAATCCAGACTGACCAGTTCCGTGTTCAGTAAGATTATAACTTCCTTTGGTCTGAACAACTATCCTATCAGACGAATACTGTGGATAAAAGGTTTAGTCCAAAAAAATAAAAATAAAAGGTTTAGTCCAATGCAAACACAGAGCCTTAAGTAGATTTGAAATAATTTTTCAAATGTAAAAGGCATTTATGAAATATGTTTACATCAACTTGAAGAATCTTAAACAACTACTTTTAGGGATTTTAGATTATTTCTTTCTTGAAATCTAAGATCAAGAAGGTAAACTGAGGCTATTGCCACTGTGATCCAGATCATCAAGCTGCCTCTGAGGTGTCCTTTTCATCCCCAGCCCTAGACCCCTGTTCTGCTTACATCAGTCTGAACGAGCCCTGGAGGAACAGCGACCACCCATTCGATGAGTCTCGAGGCCCCCCTCTATGTGACAACAGTGTGGACGGGGAGTGGTACCGCTTCACAGGCATGGCTGGGGACGCTATGCCCACCTTCTGCATACCAGAAAACCACTGCGGAACCCATGCCCCTGTCTGGCTCAATGGCAGCCACCCTCTGGAAGGTGATGGCATTGTGCAACGCCAGGCCTGTGCCAGCTTCAACGGCAACTGCTGCCTATGGAACACCACTGTGGAGGTCAAGTCTTGCCCTGGAGGCTACTATGTGTATCGTCTGACCAAGCCCAGTGTCTGCTTTCATGTCTACTGTGGTCGTGAGTACTTCCCTGGACTCTTTTCCCTCCCCTCAAAGGCCCCAGAAATGGCATCAAAGAGAATAGTGCTATGGGAAATTCTGTTGTAGTAGTATCTCAGTGCCTGAAGAACATTGATTTAGGAGCACAGATATATCTAGCTCATTATTTCTGGGGTCTACTCTTAAGATTTCTGAAAGATTCCTAAGAATAGAAAGGAAGGGAGCTATGACTTTGATTAGTTTTGTCTTTTATGTAATTTAGTGTGGATTTCCAACCTTTCTGAGCATGGAGGACCCCTTCTTTAGATATATTTCAGACATCCATATGGTAGCATTGTGCTTAGTATCCATTGATGTTTTTTAGAAATTATGTATAATGGGAAGGCACTACTTGAGATCAGTAATACTTTCAAATGAGTTTTTGTGTTATTAATCCCATCAAAATCTGTATACATTTTAAAAATAGACTGCATAGAAGAGTAGAACATAATCCTATTTAATCTACAGCTCATGTTTGGTGAGGTTTTGCAGAAAACACCAGGGTCTCCCAGGGGTCTGTGGATCTGAAGTTAGGACTCATGGATCTCAATGACAGAACATGCCCATGCCCCTGGACAGTACCTCTTGCCAGTGGGTTATATAAACCCAGAACAGTGAGAATTCTCTTGATGTTGATTAGGAATTCGTACCCTGTAATTGAACTCAGGAGACTTTCTCATGGATGAGAGTGTCCTCTGACCCTCGCCCCTCATGAAAGGTCATCTTTATCCTTCCATAGATTTTTATGACATCTGTGATGAGGACTGCCACGGCAGCTGCCCGGGTACCAGTGAGTGCACATGTGCTCCAGGAACCGTGCTAGGCCCCGACAGACAGACATGCTTTGGTAAGAAACTCATCTTGCAGTAGAAACAGGCCATTAGGAGCAAAAGGACAAATCAAATCAAAAACTCTTCTTGACTCATAGCACCACCATTTTTCTACTTTGTGTCTCTGAACACTCAGAATGGGGTTTGCCTTTTTAGTTCATAAGTAAAGCTTCAAGTCAAATTTACATCATGTGCTGGGACAGTCTAGGATTATGCTGTCCAATATAGTAACCACTAGCCATATGTGACTATGAAGCTCTTGATATGTGGCTTCTGTGACTGGAAAACTGAGCTGTTATTTTACATAATTTTAACTTAAAAGCTAATACTTGATTGTCATTGGAAAACTAAAAATATGTGGAACAGCTTGAGTGAACTGTAAATTTCATGACTCTAAAGTACAAATCACGTATTTCTGATGAAAATTTATCATCCAAATTGAGACATGCTATAAGTGTAAAATACACACTGGATTTTGAAGACTAGTTAGAAGAACATATCTCAATAATTTTAATACTGATTATATATTAAAATGAAACATTTTGGAAATACTAGATTAAATGAAATATATTATTAAAATTAATTTTACCAATGCCTTTTAACAAAATTTTTAATGTGACTAATAGGAAATTTTATATGTGTGGCTTGCTTTGTATTTCTGTTGGATAGCTTTGGTCTAGAATTACCTACAGGTACACGTCTATAGCTTCAGTGATATAATTTTGGTTTGTCTGAGTAGCAAGAAAGGCGAGTCAGGTTATTCGTTGGAAATGCAGAATTGTCTAATTATATATATGTTTTGTTGTCCACAACTGGGAGAAAATAGAGTTGAAAAACCCAGGACTGAAGGTCATCTCTTTTTTGTTTAATGTCATGAAGCTTTTTGTATTCAGACGCAAAGAGATTTAAAACAAGTCTAAAGAGAAAGGGAAGCACTGCCCCACACCTGCCTCCTCTAGAAGAGCAGTAACAAGATCAGGGTGGGATAGGGATCAGGATGAAAGGGCTATCAAAGGGTTCTTATTTTAGAAAAGCTTTTGTATTTCAGTCTCTTTAATGAACCGCCCCCCCACCTCCGCAACCCCCAGCGACTGTTCTATGGAGCATGGTTAGGCCCTCCCATAACAGTTGTTATGGCTCTTGCATGGTCGATTTTGACTATGTGATTTATTGCAAACAGATTTGGGGTGTGGGAGATGATGGTTCCTACAATCCCCCCAACCTCTCACACTGCACAGGCACACACACACACGCACACACACATATACACATGTATCTGTTGGAAAATATTTGGCTTCCTTTTAAGGCAGGGGTTTTTCATTCATTTCTCTGCCTTTATTTTTATATAAATTTTGAATAGGTAATGTATTTAAATAGCTCCCAAATTAAACAGCATGACAGGTATACAGTGAAACATCTGGCTCTCTGTCCCCCATTTGTTCCATTTCCCCCTCCTCCAACTCTGCCCCAAGGAAACTACATTATTTACTTATGTATGCTTCCAGGATTTCTTCAGGCAGATATAAAAATAAAAATATACACATTTAATTATTGCTGTTGTTTAAATCAAAGGTCACCTGTTATACACACCATACATATCTCTTGCTTAGCAACTTATCTTGAATATTTCTGCCTATCAGGACACAGGGAAAAGCTACCTGGGGTCTGTCTACTGGTTTCAGGGAGATCATGAATTCCCTGAAATTAGAGGCAAAGCTTTATGTTTATGTGTATGTCAATGTTACTTTAGTTTTTTAAAAAATATATAACAATTTTAATTATTTGTTATAAATTATGTATTTGGGGGAGGCAGAGAGAAGAGTAAAGAAAATAATATAATAGACCCTCATATACCCAGATTTATAGCCAAATTTTTCTTCTTTTTTTTTAAATAAAATTTTGCAGACACAGATAAAGCCATCTCACACCACCTCTTTTACTTCTCTCACCCTCCAGGAGAATTAGTATTTTGAAGTTAGTGTATTTCTGGTCCCTGTTTTTATGCTTTTATTATTTATGTAAATAAATAACAATAACAATATAACATATAAAACTAACTATATCGCACTGTTTTGTGTGTTCTTAAAATAGTTCTTAACATAGTTTTAAGAACCTTAACTCCCCTGTGAGATTTTCTCCACCCTTTTTTCATTTTATACCTGTAAAAGTGGAATTGCTGGGGCATTGAGTATCTAAATTAGGCTGTAACGGACACTTAACTCCCAAATAACAATGGCTTAAATAAATAGAAGTGTATTTCTCTCTCAGGTAAAAAAATCAGTCTCAGGGTGAGCAGTCCAGGCTTTGGACAGAGACTGAACCTGAGCACCAGTGTGGCCGTACCCAGGAAGGCTGCCAGCACCCCTATCCATCCGCTATCCAGGCAGTAGGGCCTAATCTTAGCAACTGTATTTTTCATTTCTACAGGTTCTGTGTGTTTGGTTTCAATTCTGCTTTGTCTTCCTACACATTCTTTTATTTGGCTACTGACCTTGTATCTGTTTAGTAATTTTTTAAATCCTTGTATTATGTATTTTCTTGGGTTATTCTGTTCTCTATAGTTCAGAGATTACCAGTTGTTACCATATCAGCTTTCTCATAGCGGATCATCTCCGCCTGTGTAGTGTTTTATGGTAAACCATCTTCTATTGTAATTGTTTTTTCTGTGGAACTCCACTCATCACTGGTTTGAAGAAGCTGGTTTTTGTTTTTGTTTTCTTTTACTACACAGCAGTGTTTCAGATGCTTTTGTCACAGAAGTTTCACCAATCCAGGTCAAAGTTTACATCAGTTTCTCAGCTTCAAGATCCCCACTAGATATAGGAATTGTGACTTCATACTTCAACCACGGCAGAGCCAGACTTGGCTTTTATGGAGGCTTTCTTCTCTCTCAGAACTTCAGGCAGAGAGCTCCTTACTGCTTTCCTGGGCCTCAGAGCAGAGCCCTTCCTCTCCCCCTTTCACTACGGGGATGCCTTTTCCAAGGTCCTGGGCTTGAGCAGGGTTTCAGTTCCAGCTCATCTTCTCTCAGGGACCCACGGCCATACCTTCTGTCATCTAGTGGGTATTTAAACCCCAGTCCCTAATTTATATCTTATATCCAAGCCATGACAAATTTAGCTCTTCAAGCTCCCCATTTTTTGTTTGTAGAAGGAAGTGGATTGACATTTGTTGCCAACTGTGCATTTTTTATAACAAGAATCATTATCCTGTATCACATTCTTAAAAAGGATAACAATCATTACGTAAGTGCAATATGGGAACATTCCAATGTTTATTTTTTTAAAGGTGGTTTTTTAGTATTTTGAAGTCTTTACTGAATTTGTTACAACATTGTATTAGTTACCCATTCGTGTCTTTGCAACCCCATGAACTATAGCTTGCCAGGCTCCTCCGTCCATAGAATTCTCCAGGGAAGAATATTGGAGTGGGTTGCCATTCCCTTCTCCAGGGGCTCTTCCCAATCCAGAGATTGAGCCCAGGTTTCCTGCACTGCAGGCAGATTCTTTACCATCTAAGTCACCAGGGAAGCCCTGTTACAATATTGCTTCTGTGTTATATTTTGTTTTTATGGCCATGAGGCATGTGAGATCTTAGTTCCCTGACCAGAGATTGAACCCTCACTGCCTGCAAGTCTTAACCACTGGACCACCAGGGAAGGCCCTTCCAATAGTTAAAACAGATTTTAAAGGCAGCCGTTTATAATATTGGGTTGGTCAAAAAGTTAGTTTGGTTAGTAAATAGAGTCAATAGAGTTCTTCATAAAAATGAAAAATGTGTCTTTTTTTAATTAAAACTGAACAAAATTTTTGGCCAGCCCAATAGAAGACTACCTCACTAATAGTATACAGAATACATTTATAGAAAACATGAACTTTGCATAGCTAAACAGTTCATAAGATTTTGATTCCACTTGTTTGACTTAGTATGAATGGAATGCTAGATTTTTATTTTTTTAAAAAATAGATATGCAACAATCAACAGTTTTACTGTATAGCACAGGAACCCGTAGTCTATATCTTGTAATAACCTCTAATGGAAAATAATCTCAAAACTAATATATGTGTATGTGTATGACTAAATCACCTTGTTGTGCACTTGAAACTTTGTCAACTATACTTGAATCAAATATATATATATATATATATTAAGGAAGACTGCTTCACAAGAAATTTCATCAGACCTAGCCTTTTGCAATGTAAATTTATAACACATTTAAAACACAGTTTGATTTATAAGTTTCAGGAATTGGAGAAAATGAGACTCGCCAATACAAGCAAGTAAGTGAAACCAGATAACAAAGGGAATTTCATTTCCCCAACAGTTTTGCCCTGAGTAGGGAACTGGCAAACAACCAGCTGCCTTCTGCTCTAGCAGAGGGCAGAGGGACAAATAACTTGGTTGAGGAGACCAGGTTAATATTATAGAAGTGATTATATTGGAGATGGTTTGTGGAAAGTCTATGAGCAGGATCTGAAAAGATGTAGCGATTCTGCTAAGGGGCTTGGGAAAAGATTGTATGGCTCAGCGTTGTGTAAACAGTGTGGTTTCTCTTCTACAGATGAAAATGAATGTGAGCAAAACAATGGTGGCTGCAGTGAGATATGTGTAAACCTCAAAAATTCCTATCGCTGTGAATGTGGGGTTGGCCGTGTGCTAAGAAGTGATGGCAAGACATGTGAAGGTGAGGTGGGCAAGAAGGGATTCACGTCAAGAGCCCCCACTAAGCCACTGGCTTATTTTTTGACATTTATGAAACTGTCCAGGGTTAGAAGAGAGTAACAACTTGGCTGTGTAAAGAAACCACAAACCATCATCACTGAGCGTCACTGCAGGATGCTTGTGTTGCAGACAGAATGCAGTGTTGATTTTACCTCCAAGCTTTGGCAGAAGGGAGCTGTTACATTTTGCAAGAGGCAGAGAGCTGCATTTTTAGTTTGGGATATAAAAATTGGGTATTCCATGTTTCTCAAACTTGAATACACCCACGAATCACCTGGCATCTTGTTAAAATGCAGGTTCTGATTCAGTAGGTCTGGGGCCAGGTGAAGATCCTGCATTTTTAAATAACTTTTAGGTGCTGGCTATGCTGCAGACCCAGGGAGCACATCTGAAATAGCAAGATAATGGAGGCAGGTGGCAGAACAAATGGCTTAAAGCAGTTTCTCAGACTTCCTGGCTGAGAATCACCTGTATGCTTTTAAAGCTGGCCCTTCCCAGGTCTCTCTCCTGGAGACTCTGGTTCAGTGAGGTGGGATGGGCCTTACAGTTTGTGTTTTTACCAAGTTTCCTATGTGAGTCTTACCATCTTGGAAGTTTGGGAAACTGGTTTTTATGAAGTCATTTATTTTATTAATATGCTTTCCATTTATTAGAGATTAACATGTGTTTGGAGATAAGTAAACTTACCTGATTTGATAGTAGAAATGCTAGATGGTGACAGTTTTAGTCACTAAGTCATGTATGGCTCTTGGACTGTAGAGTTGGATGTGCACGGTAGCCCACCAGGTTCCTCTGTCCGTGGGATTTCCCAGGCAGGAGTACTGGGGCAGGTTGCCATTTCCTTCTCCAGGGGATTTTCTCAACTCAGGGATGGGACCTGGGTCTCCTGCATTGCAGTGGTTTCCTGCATTTCAGGCAGATTCTTTACCAGCAGAGTCACCATGGAAATCCAGAAATTCTGTATACATTTTGTACAATTAAGTAATAAAAAATAATTTGAAATGTATGTTGAATAACTGAAATGGAAATTGTCTACTATTATGACATGAAGCTTTGATAATATCCCTTCTCTAAGGCACCTTTGCCCTTGCAAATTATCTGGGCTGAAATTTCATAATTTCTACTTTAATAACTCTGAGTCTCATGACATTGAGAGTTGAGAGGCCAAAAAAGGAAAAAATCTCTGCAGATTATATGAAGAGATAAATGGCTTATCATTATTTACAGAGGACATATATGTCCTAGAGGATAACTGAATGTATGGCATAATACATTATAACACTGCTTGTGAGTCACTTTATTCTAGCTATATTCAAAATAATAAACTGCTACCCTAAAAGGAAAAATTATGGCTAGTGCTCACAATTTATTTCATGCCACAAAGTTTGCGTTATTAACTCAGGGTCCATTAACCAGGATATCAAACTGCTGTCTCTTGTAAAAAGACTAAATGTACTTTAAGTTTTATTGGATAAGGGTAATATCCTGAATCCTCCTTAAATCTTATTTTATACAACCATCTTTGCATATTTGTATATTAATGAAATGTTCCATGAGGAACATTTGTAATTATCTATGAGTATTTTATTAGAAATATTAGTTAATCCTCATATAATTTTAAAACCTAATAATCATAACTGAAAAGTATTTTAGCAGAAGATAAAGTTTGAATATGAATTATACTTTAGGATTAAGATTCAAATTTGAAGCCCTTACTTTTTGGAGCGTTTTTTGGGTTTTTTGTTTTTATGGAAACCCTTACATTTTATTGATAGTCCAAACATATTTGTTTCTTTAGTCTGTTAGATTAGCATATTTTCTTTTTTAAAATAAAAGGCTCTTTTTAATTTTTAAGTAATTTTTATTGTTTGTTTTATTATAAAAGAGGTATGTTCATAGAAGAAAATACAGAGAAGTAAAAGAAAGATATGGACCCAGAACCCATTTGCTAGATATATCTATTCTAAACATTCTGGTATATCCTTGTAAGAGACTTAAAATTCTTCCATCCACGTAAGAATTTCAGCTTATTTTGTGCATTGCAGTCTTAGATCTGGAAATATTCTTAATGAACATTTAATCCAACACTTTCATTTTACATTTATTGAAACTGACACCCAGGAAAATTAAATGACTTAAGGAACATTACTTTTAAGAAAAAAATTTCCTAGTAATGTTGATTTTAACATTTTATAGCATATTTTATGCTTTCTTCTATATCATTATATATCATTTTCAGCTATTTAAAAACCTGTAAGAATACTTTTATCTTTTTTAACTACAGATTTATAAACAGGTCATAACCTAATTTCTCTTAAATTTTGTGAAGATTAATTCATTGCAAATTTATTCTCTCTCCCTATTTCACAAAAATTGATTCATTCCAAGTTAATTAACTGATGCTCCAAAGAACTAATATTTTTATCATTATTGAACTGAGACTTATAGCTATAACTGGAAATTGGCTAATACGTTCCCTTGAACATCTTAAATGAATTGAAAGCATTCTCCCCCACGTTTTTTTTTTTTACCACACCCTGAAGAATCTTAGTTCTGACCAGGGATCAAACCTGGGCTGTTGGGATTGAGAGCTCAGAGTCCTAACCACTAGACCACCAGAGGATTCCTGAAGGTATTCCCCTTTAAGTATTACCTTACCCCTAAAACAGGGAGCAGCAAACTTTCTCTGCATAGACCAAACAGTGGATATTTAATATGGAATTTGTTCAAACTACTCAACTCCACCCTCGTAGTGAGAAGGCACCCCAGAGATAACAGGGGAATAAATGAGCATGACTAAGTGTGCTAATCAAACTTTATGTACAACAGCATATAGCAGGCCAGAGTTTGATGATCCATGATCTAGAAGATAGCATCCAGAACCCACAAAGGTCATTATTTTTCCTCTGCTAACTATGACATTATGTGGTAGTTTCTTCATTTTTCAACTGAATATTTTTCCTTTTTTGCCCATTTGATTGAGTATGCTTTCTGAAAATGCAAAACTTTTAAAAAGAAAACTTTTAAAAGCTACCTCATATGTGAAGAATGAAAGAGCTCGGTAGAGTGGAATCTCTCAGTGTGCTGTCCAGGTCTCATTTTTATAATGTGCTGTCAACCCAAGAAAAATATCTCCAGTGCTGTTATTCCTAGAGATTCGAGGAGAGGGTTTGGTGATCCAACCACTGGCAATAACTCTGAGTAACTCTGATCCATTTAGCTGCTCTTCTTGAATTTATATTCTGTCAGTTCCTGTTACATCAGTAATAAACATTTCAATATTGGGTGGACTAAATGTTACAGCAATTAAGAAATGACTTTCTGGTCTTCCTCCCCAAATTATACTTTAATCATGAGAAAAACAGACAAATCCGGGTTGAAGGGCATTCTACAAAATGACGAGCTTAAATGGTGAGAGCTGTGTTTGTGTCGTAAGATGGCTGTTTGTAGCTATACCATTTAATCCAAACTTTTTTGTGTACATTTCTGCATGTCTCAGTGACCGAGCTGGGCCCCAGTGATACTATGGTAAGTCAAGTATAATGCCTGTTGCAAACCATGAGTCCAAGAACCAGAATTCTTGAGGAAGAAGACTACAAGATCCTTCCTTTTTCTTTTGGTTTTTATTGCAGACATTGAAGGATGCCACAATAACAATGGTGGCTGCAGCCATTCTTGCCTTACAGCTGAGAGAGGCTACCAGTGCGAATGTCCCCGGGGCTTGGTGCTGTCTGAGGATAACCACACTTGCCAAGGTAGTGCATGTTCAGCTTCTGCTCTGACTTCTTCCTTCCCAAATCTCCCTGTCTTCCTCACCCAAGTGCGTCAAGATTCTCATCTTTTAGAATACCAGCTCTTTCAGCAGTGTGTGTTCACTCTGGAATCATTCAAAATTGCAGTTAAAAAATTTAACATACAATTTACCATCTAAGCCAGTGTTAAGTGTATAGTTCAGTAGTGGTAAGTATATTCACGTGCAACACCTCTTCAGAGCTTTTTCATCTTGCACATCTAAAACTCTGGACCCGTTAAAAACATCTACCCCTCATTCCTTCCTCCCTGCAGCCCCTGGCAACCACCATCCTACTTTCAGTTTCCATGAAGCCAACTATTTTAGGTACGTCATATAAGTGGATTCCTACAATTTGTCATCTTGTGATTGACTTAATTTCACTTAGTAAATTGTCCACAAGTTTCAAGCAAGTAGTGTATGACAGGATTTCTTCCCTTCATAAAGCTATTCCACTGCATGTGTACACCACATTTTATTTATCCATTCATCCACTGATGGACATTTGGATTGCTTCCTCCTCCTGGCTATTGTCAGTAATGCTGCTATGAATATGTGTATGCAGATATCTCTTTGAGATCCTGTTTTCAGTTCTTTGGGATCTATACTCAAATGGATTGCTGGAACATATGGTTTCCTCTGCTTTTTACTTTTGATTTTATTTACCCTGATTTCTATTATTAGTTGTATAACTAATATTCAATACTTAATTTAGATGGAGTTCCTCTCTTTTCTAGCAGATCATTGTTTTTCTGGAAATCTAGTTATTTATGTCCAGAATATTAATTTATTCATCCAGCAAATTTTTAATAAGCACCTATCTGTGATTTCTTTATACTAAGTTATCACTATTATGTGCCCTCATACACTGATATTGCCCTCATGTTTTATCTGACAGTACTCAGAAATACTCATTTTAGGATATCTGTACAGTCTTGAGATGAGAATGCTTTAGAAAAGCAATCTTTTTATATTAAATTAAAGTGGGCTTTATAGTCACAGTTTATGGTTTACTGAGCCATGCAAGGATGATTTGGAACTTTTCCCCAAGTGCACTAATGCTGTTTTTATTACCACTGTTTTATGGGGCAATAATTAATGGTGAAGTCAAAGCAGTAACATTATGTAATTTAAGCCCGTATCAAAGCAGTACTTTTCCTGTATTGCCGATAAACTGTGTTTCCGCTAAAAGTTCATCCTTTAGGTGTTTGATACATGGAGTTATGCTAGACTCGCTTTGAAATGTTTGTTAAATTGAAACTTTAGAACAATATTTCTTCATTTGGGAAATAATACAGTATTTATCGAGCATTATTTGACCACCACCTTGGGAGTTAGGAGTCCAGCTTTTATTCACCAATTTGTTTTGAGCCTCACAGATTTTTCTTGCGGATAAAACAAAAAGCTCAAAGTGCAAGAGGGAGAAGTTGTTTCTCCGAGTAGCCTCCTTCCCCTCCTCCCAGTCCTGCTTTCCCGGTTCTAACAGCATCCCCTGTCCCCACAGTTCCTGTATTCTGCAAGTCAAACACCATCGAAGTGAGCATCCCCAGGGACCTGGTTGGCGGTCTGGAGCTCTTCCTGACCAACACCTCCTGCCGAGGCGTGTCCAATGGCACCCATGTCAACATCCTCTTCTCCCTCAAGACGTGTGGCACAGTGGTTGATGTAGGTTCTTCCTAGAGGACTCTTGGGGAATGACCAAATCTAGTTATTTGGGAATTTGTTGATGAACGTGTGAGTTGTGGCTTGTGTCATAGATGACATATTTCCACATAAAAGAATGGCGCTAAAAAATTCATATGCTGTTCATTTAACAAATGTATTCATCGAGCATCTGTGCTGTGCTATGGTCCTGACACTGGGAAGACAGCAAGTTAAAAAGAATTCTGCTCTTTCAGTTCTCAAATAGTATTGAATACCATCTCTCCAATATGCACAGATATTTCCCTGAGTGCATCAGCACCAGTACCTGAGGCCCACTGTGTCTCCTCTGACCAATTATTCTACTTGAAGAAAACAGTGATTAATTCATGAGATAACAAATGAGTCCAAGGATTGAACCAGGGAGAGGTAAAAGATTTGTTCTTCCTTCCAAGAATCTGTGCCCGGCCCTGTGCTAGGGAGGCTGAGGGATATGTGAAATATACGCAAAATAAGACTCCTGACTTTTAGGAACACATGTGGTTCCTAAAAGAAAATACACATAAAATATGAGTCAGCGATAGAGTTGACAGGTGGTGTAGGAGGCCAGGAAGGGACAAACCCTGGAGTAGTCAAGACGAGTGAGACTTGAATTGGGGTGGAAGCATATGTGTGGTTTATACAGGCAGAGAGGTGGAGAAAGGGCATTTAAGATGAGAAACAAGTGATCAAGTCTCAGAGATGGGAATTCTTGAGGCTTATGCTGAATGAATGGGCAATACAACCTGACTGGCAAGGAATGAATAATGGAAAGGAAACTGGAAAAGTGGGTGGAGGGAGACTGTGCTTTCAAAGATCTGCTTTGTGTGCTGGGGTGAGACGTTTGGCTTTTTCCCATAGGAATGGGATGAAGTAGGCACTGTCATGATGAAATCAGAAGTGGACAAGATGAATAGAAAAAAGGACCTGGACCCAGGAGATTGATGTAGAGGCCCTTGCAATCAAATAAACAAGTATTTATTTATGGAAACAGAGAAAAATCAGAGAGTTAATTAGACTTGGGATGAGACATTGGGCAGATATTTGAAAAGGACCCACTTTAGGCAAATTATGTTTTGTCATATCTGTGGATAATCAAATAGAAATGCCCTGCAAATGAGCCAGGGGTTCTTGGTACACAGGAGAGCAGACAAGGCTAGAGATGGAGAACTGCAAATCATCTGAGTAAATGCGACAGCTGAAGCCCATGTACAGATGAGCTCAGCCCAAGGTCATGCTGCTGCACAATCACCAGGTCTAGGATTCCAGAAAAATATAATATAGAGGCTGTTCTTTTCTAAACTATCAGAGCTTTGAATTTGCTGATTCTGCATAGCTCAGGTTTTTATGACTAATACTCCAAAGGAATGTGTGGGTTGACCATGAAGTGGTATATAAAACTCTTAATAGTCAAAACATGTTAGTAAAAAGAGGAGAAGCGATTTTTTCTTTTTAAGTTTCAGGTTTTAGCAACTGAATCTCTCATGTGTTTTGACGTAAAGAGAAATTGGAGAATGTTATGGTGGGCAGTGGGTAGGGTGCTCTGTAGAAATAAACAGAGACTCTTTCCTCTCCTGGCTCTGGCCTGGCTCAGGTGGTGAACGACAAGATCGTGGCTAGCAACCTTGTGACAGGTCTACCCAAGCAGACCCCAGGAAGCAGCGGCGACATCATCATTCGAACCAGCAAACTGCTGATTCCCGTGACCTGTGAGTTTCCACGCCTGTACACCATTTCCGAAGGCTACGTTCCCAACCTTCGCAACACCCCGCTGGAAATCATGAGCCGCAGCCACGGAATCTTCCCGTTCACTCTGGAGATCTTCAAGGACCACGAGTTCGAAGAGCCTTACCGGGAAGCTCTGCCCACTCTCAAGTTGCGAGATTCCCTCTACTTTGGTATTGAGCCCCTGGTGCACGTGAATGGCTTAGAAAGCCTGGTGGAGAGCTGCTTCGCCACCCCCACATCCAAGATCGACGAGATCATGAAGCACTACCTCATCCAGGATGGGTAAGTAGGCTTCTTGAATGATGGATTAGCCTTAGTTCTCAGCCAGGTCTTCCCTGGTGGCTCAGATGGTAAAGAATCTGTTTGCAGTGCAGGAGGCTCAGGTGCAATTCCTGGGTCAGGAAGATCCCCTGGAGAAGGAAATGGCAACCCACTCCAGTGTTCTTGCCTGGAGAATTCTGTGGACAGAGAAATCTGGTAGCCTACGGTCCATGGGATTGAAAAGAGTTGGACAGACTTAGGGACTAACACTTTCACATTTGATCTCTGGACACAATAGCAACTTCAATCATTTCATAAAACCAAGCAGCACTCTTGCCTGCTCTTAATTAGTTCAGAAACCACTTGTGGACATTTTGTTGATAAAAACTGGTGAGGAAGAGCAGAGTCAAAAATGATTCCAAGGGGTCTAACTTATATGACTGACTAGATGTCCGTAACCAAGATGAAAGGACATAGGTTGAAAAGCAGATTTGCTGTAAAAATACTGTATATGATAATTCCAAATAATAATATTACAATGTAAATGCCTGGGCCTCCCTGGTGGCTCAATGGTAAAGAATCTGCCTTCCAATGCAGGGAACATGGATTGGATCCCTGGTCTGGGCAGATTCCCTGGAGAAGGAAATGACAACCCACTCCAGTATTCTTGCCTGGGAAATCCCATGAACAGAGGAGTCTGGCGGGCTACAGTCCATGGGTTCGCAAAGAGTCAGATACGACTTAGCAACTGAACAACAAACAAAAACAAATTGTAAATACCCACAGGATACTTAAGAGAATTCCAGTGGCAGTTGGAAATGCATGTCAGTTAGACCCAGAAACAGTAGAGACAAATAACAGAGGATTACCCCTGTTTATAGTTGAAACTATAGGATTGACTGGGGCTTCCCAGGTGCCACTAGTGGTAAAGAACCCACCTTGCCAATGCAGGAAGCATAAAAGAAAGGCTCGATCCTTGGGTAAGGAAGATCCCTTGGAGAAAGGCATGGCAACCCACTCCAGTATTCTTGCCTGGAGAATCCCATGGAACCTGGCAGGCTACAGTCCATTGGGTCACACAGTTGGACATGACTGAAGCAACTTAATATGCATACCTAGGACTGATTAACCTGGTCAGAGAGATTGTAGAGCATGGGTGGCATGGTTGTTATTGTTCAGTCTCTTAAGTTGTGTCTGATTCTTTGTGACCCCATGAACTTCCCTGTTTGCTCAAACTCATGTCCGTTGAGTCAATGATGCCATCAAACCATCTCATCCTCTGTTGCCCCCTTCTTTTGCCCTCAATCTTTCCCAGCATCAGGGTCTTTTCCAATGAGTAGGCTCTTCGCATAAGGGTGGCAGATGGGGAATGAGAAATGCAAGAGGATAAGGAAGTGGAAGCAGCAAATGCAGACCCCTCTTTTAAGAAGCTTGGTCGTGAAGGAGAGAGATGAAATAATTGGTTGGTTTTAGGAGAGGAGAGATCAAGTTAACTTTGTTTCCGTTTGCTTGTTTTATACAATGGAGAATTCCATATGTGTTGAGGTTGTTGGATTGAGAACTTTGCATGTGTCCATGTATCATTGAAAGCCTAACAGTAACCACATCTACTGCTTACATTCCCAGAAAATTACACTCACATCCCAAACTCATAGCTGTATCTCTTCAGTTCCTTCCTCATCCTCAATGTCAGATGGGACATATCTCTAGCAGGTCAGGACCAGCCACTTAAGAAAAGGCAAATGGCCTAGTGAAGAGCTCCGCAGATGTGCCCTGGTTCATGCCCTTTGCTAATTACCCTGATAGACTGAAATTTCTCCTTTGCTTTTAACCCCCTGGATCTCTCACCACAGGTGAACTTTACCTGCTGCTATCAATTTCCTCCACAGTGATTTTAAACTTTTGATACACATTAGGATCAACTGAGAAGCCTTTCTAAAAGTAGCAATATCCCAACCCTGTTCTCCACTCTTACTGCCTTACTGCCAGCCCTCATTATCTTTCACCTGGACAGATGAAAGCTTCCAAACATAGCCTCCTACATCCCAGCTCTCAAGTCTCATCTCCATAGAGCCCTGGGTATCCAGTCAAAAGAAAAACAAATTATATATATATAGTCATTTTCCTGCTGAAAACATATTGATGATTTCCTTTGGTTGGTAAATTTAGCTGTTTACTAGCAGGAGTACTGGAAAAGGCAATGGCACCCCACTCCAGTACTCTTGCCTGGAAAAATCCCATGGACGGAGGAGCCTGGTGGGCTGCAGTCCATGAGGTCACTAAGAGTCAGACACGACTGAGCGACTTCACTTTCACTTTTCACTTTCATGCATTGGAGAAGGAAATGGCAACCCACTCCAGTGTTCTTGCCTGGAGAATCCCAGGGACGGGGGAGCCTGGTGGGCTGCCGTCTATGGGGTCGCACAGTGTCGGACATGACTGAAGTGACTTAGCAGCAGCCGCAGCAGGAGTACCTCTAGCTTCAGATTCCTGTAGCCTCCTTAGCTTGTTTTCAGAATCTGGAAAAGGCATCTGAGCTGCTTTGGATGGCTAGAGGTAGGTCTTACAGGAGACGGCAGGCCTTTGGGTTTCTTACCATTTTAAAGTGATCTCTGCAAAGTTTTAAAATGAAACATGGAAGCATCAATTTTTCTTTTTCTTTTTTCAGTCACATAATTAGTGCTAAGTAGATCTGGGGATGGATTTACTTTGTGGGGGGTGGGTTTTGGTTACTTTTAAATTTTTTACAGGTTTATTGCAGTGCTGTTTGTATACAATAAATATGCTGTTCAAAGTATACAGCTTGGGGAATTCCCTTGAGGTCCAGTAGTTAGGACTCTATGCTTCCACTTTAGGGAGCTGGGTTTGATCCCTGGTCAGGGAACTAAGCCGCCCAGTGTGGCCAAAAGATTAAGTGTACGATTTGGTAAGTTCTGATGTCTACATACTGGTGAAGCTATCACTACAATCAAAGCAGTTAATATTTCCCTTACCACAAGCTTTCTCCTGCCCCTTGCATTTACTTTTGCAAACATAAACATATAGTCTTAACCCACTTACTGGGAAAACATGTAACCTACAGTCTCAATAAAGCTTGTGAAGTTTATTTATAAACTTTGTTCAGACCCTCAGTTAGGACTATATGCTTATATTTTAGACAGTTCTAAGAAGATGTGCTATTTAATTTTCCAGCCTTTAGTGCACACAAAAACAATGCTATGGAAGATATTAAAATTGTTCAAAAGCATAAGCAGAACTCGAAAACACAGCTATGTGGACCTGTTTCCACTATACATAGGCAAATAGTTTCATCTCTAGTGCAATATTGGACAGTACAGTATTAGCTAAGAACAGTAATGGTGCATTTGAGATATTCCCTCAAGATAAAATCCAGCTCTCAGTTTGGCTCACTGTGCCTCACCCTCTGACCTCTACCTTCTCCATTTTCTGCTCCTGCCAAAGAGAACTATGGGCAATTCACAGTTTCTGTTGCTCCTTACACTCTCCTGATTCTGCAGCTGCCATTTCCACTGCCTGAAATCTTCTTTCCTTTTTCTTCATGTCTGATTCTTACTGGTCCTTTGAGACACATTGGGATTTTTTTTTCCCTCCATAAAGCCTTCCCTGATTGTTCTAACCAGAACTAGAAATCTTCCTTTCGTCTTCCTCAATTCTTTGCCTACATACAGTAAAGGTCATTTACTGTTTGTCTAATGAATTATTGAATGTGTGTTTTCAAAATACTAATTTGGGGCTAGTTCAGAGTCCTAAAATAAACATAATGCTGTTTACTTATATTTGTAAATTGGTTGATTATTCATTGTCCTCAGCTTAAATTTAAATCAGGCTGGTTTCCCCTGATATTTAACACATCTGATTTGCTTCCCTCTAGTTTTAGTTGGCATATGCTCTGAGAATGCAAAAAAATTTAATGCAACCCTAAGCAAAGTAGAATTAGAAAGTTTATCTCCAGAAAAAGAAACATTGAATTCCAAAATCCAATATTGGACTTTTGGGTAATCAGTTATTTTGACTTATCCTATACTGTTTGTTGTTACTTTCTTTTAGCACATGAACTTGGAGTTGATGAACTAGAATTGTCTAATCATAGAAAACACTGAATCAAGAGCCAGAATTTGTCTTGGGTTCTATTCTGTAATGTGTTGCCCTGCAACAACTCTGTCACATTTTCTCTTTAAGAAAAATTTTTTTTTACTATTCAGCCACAGAAAAGAATAAAATAATGCCATTTGCAGCAACATGGATGGACCTAAAGATTATCACACTAAGTGAAGTAAGTCAGACAGAGAAAAGCAAATATAATATGATATCACTTATATGTAGAATCTAAAATATGATACAAATGACCTTATTTACAAAACAGAAACAGACTCACATAGAAAGCAAACTAATGGTTACCAAAGGGTAAATTGGGATTTGGGAAAGGGACAAAGCAGGAGTTTAGGATTAACAGATACACACTACTATATATAAAATAAACAACAAGGCCCTACTATAGAGCACAGGGCTTCCCAGGTGGCACTTGTGGTAAAGAATCCACCTGCCAATGCAGCAGACTCAGAACACGCGGGTTTGATCCCTGGATTGGGAAGATCCCTTGGAGGAGGAAATGGCAACCCACTCTAGTATTCTTGCCTGGAAAATTCCATGGACAGAGGAGCCTGGTGGGCTACAGTCCATGGAGTTACAATGAGTCAGACACAACTAAGCAAACATACACAGGATAGCATAGGGAATTACAGTCACTATCTTGTAATAACCTGTAGTGGAAAAGAATATGAAAAAGAACATATATGTGTATACCTAAATCACTTTGCTGTACATCAGAAATTAACATTGTCAATCACCTATACTTCAATTTTTTTTAAATAGTATTTTAGGTAAAGATAAATTGAAAATGCTGAGGCACTCAGATGAAAAGTGCCATTTTAATGTCACATTACTACTGTTCTCACAGTTACTGGACTTTTAAGTTCCTTGACATCACAGACCACATTGTTCATCTCTGACTCCTCTGCAGCACCCAGAAGAGTGCGTCACACAGATTAGATATGCAATAGGTATTTGAGAACATAATCAGAAATGGCATAGATTCATTTAACCTCAGGAAAATGACAATGTGTACATAAATATAATAAATAACAGAAACCACATTATATTTCTAGATCCTCTTCAGTTTAGGGAAATAAGGTACCAGTGGTAATACAAGTCAAGGTGTCATGTTTTTTAATAATTTTATTGGATTTTTCACCTGCCCTGAAACAGCACATAGCAATGAACTAGAAAGTGTTCTGTAAGTATGTGGAGTAAGTATCCAGTTTTATAGGTGTTTACATCTGATCCCACTTTTTTACTGGCCTGATAGACAGAAACTATGAAGCATCCACGAAAAGGAAAATAGGTAAAAGTTCCGTTTGAATTCAGAATGGAAAAGACAATATATGAATGAGCCCTGGCCTTTAGGACAAATGCTTCATCTATTCTAATCCTTGGGCTCAAAGTAGGGAATCAATAACCCCTCTTATTCCCCCAGCTAACCCTGAGGTGAGCCTAGGAGTTTCACTTCAAGTGGTAGACCTGAGATTAAAATCTCAAAGCCTATCAAATTAAAATTTGGCATTAAATCTGTGAAAAGAGGTATTAAAACATTTTGGAAGTAAATGATTCCCAACAGGTCTAGTTAATATCTAAGAAACTGACATCTTTATGCAGTTCCTTGTTGTACAAATTGGGATTTGCTCACCTTTGGATCCCCTTCAGGGGTGAGTATCTGTTAGGTGTCTGATAAATATAGTGAAATCTCATTAAAGAAAAGCCTTCTCAAATCAGTAATAAAGTACATGAATGCAGAATTCCTACAATATATTGAAAATGAAAAAACAGCCTTAAAAAGATACCCCAGTATCAGAAGACATCTTTATAATAAATGTTGTTGCTCTTACTAATACTTCAGTATATTGACTTAACAGGAGGTCCTGGTGCGCAGTTTGTGGGTACAGTGAATGAGAGATGGGACAGAGAGTGTTAATGAGCAGAGCTGTGTCTGAGATTCCTTCACAGGGAAGGGATTTCATTTTTCCTTCATTCTCAAAAATCTTGAGTGCAGCCCAACCTCCTCCACCCCGTTTGCCTCTCCTTGGACCAAACACGTTGGACTGGATTGTTTTTCCACCTCTGTTTAAGAAATCAAATCTTACGTGCTATCCTGCCCTACTTCCAGCTGTGTTTCAGATGACTCAGTAAAGCAGTACACATCCCGGGATCACCTCGCAAAGCACTTTCAGGTCCCCGTCTTCAAGTTTGTGGGCAAAGACCACAAGGTGAGCTGAACACCTTTACCTTATAAAGCTGCCTGCCCTCTCCCCCCATGAACCTGAGCCTTCCTAATGTCCCAATTTGTTCACATTCTAAAGCCTACCATTGGGATCTGCATGACCTTTATGAAAAATACTATAAAACTGGCCATCTAGAATCTTAACACCTCCATGAATGTCAGAATCATTTGCCCCCTCCCAATAAAATAACTGAGCTTGTTCAAAGAAAATATGATGTGATTACAATACGAAATCCTTGTGAGCAGGTATAATTGAAAAAGCCTGTGTAGTGGTCACATGGCAAAGTATATGGAGAGAATATTTGCAAAAAAGACAAATAGTGAAATGTTCAGTGAAAACAGTATTTCACTGTTTTACATGCCAATTCAAATAATTATAAGACTATTTTATACATACTAAATGTATAAAAATTACAAATCCCAACTTTCAAGGCTATAGGGAGATGTATATAGTAGCAGTAAACATTGATATGCTTTCTGGAAAGTTGTGTAATAACCTGACAACTAATTAATAATCTGATAATGTGTAATAACCATAAAATTATCAGTCTAAATATTTCAATTCTAACAGCTTCTCAGAAACAAAAATAAAAACATGGTTTGTTGAATGTGTTTATAGAGTACTGTATGAAAGAGGCATTTAAACCAGTGCATCAATTAATGCAATATTAAGCAGTTAGTGTAGAATAAAATATAGAAAAAAGAGATATGAAAAAACTCCTGTCATAAAAAATTTAATGAAAATTGAATAGGAAATAGTTTTTTTAATGTATATAAGTAAATAGAGATTATAAGAGGCCATATATTGATATACTGTGTTGAAGTGGAAGGTTTTTTATTTTAGTAGAATTGTTGAAACACTTAAACAAAAGAAAGTTTGAGGCCAACAGTTTTTTCCATACTGCATCCAAGTGCATTCATGTGCGGTCCAGCTTCATCACTGTTCCAAAATAACTGCTAACCATGATGGCTAACCCTGACCTTCCTCTTCAACTCGGCAGCATGCATTGGGAAGTTACTTATAGGAAGAAGCTTGGAGAAAGAACTTGTTACTTTACACAGAAGTGGGTGGGACCCCATGTTATGCCCAGACCTTGATGTGACAAATCAAGATGTTAATGTTATTAGACGTTGTCCTCACAAAGTTCTCTTGTGTCCAGGCATGGAGGTAGAAGTTGTGGATGTCAGGTTTTAAATCACCCATGTGACTGAGTATGTTTGCTACATTATTAAATGTGTGAATTTGGGCAAGTTCCTTAACCTTCTTAGTTTCCTTATCTGTAAAATGGAGATGACAGCTGTTTCAAAGGCGGTTGTTTAGATGAAGTGAGATGAAACATGTGGAACATCTGGTAGTGCCTGGCTTCTAGCAGGCACGCCCGCCTGGCGGCTGAGCCCACCGTCTCTGTTCTCTCATTGTAACCTCTCCAGGAAGTGTTCCTGCACTGCCGGGTCCTGGTCTGCGGGATGCCGGACGAGCGTTCCCGCTGTGCTCAGGGCTGCCACCGGCGAGTGCGTCGTGAGGCAGGAGGAGAGGATGCCAGCGGTCCACAGAGCCAGATGCTGACGGGTGGTCCAATCAGCATTGACTGGGAGGACTAGACAACCCACCACCCAAGTCCTCCTGCAAGCTGCCTGTCTCTCTGGAATTCTCCCCTCGTCTTCTGAGAACAGCAGTTGACACCCTAGAACATCATGCTGCTTTAAACCTTACACTTTGGGTTTAGACAAACCCTCAGAACCGACTCACTCCGACTCCAGCCCATTGGGTCAGGAAAAGTCACCTCACTGCTGACCAGCCTGTTCCAGATGGAGCTTCATCCTCCTAATGTGGAAAGCTGTGCCATGCACCCCCAAAACAGCTCACCCCCATGCTCCCCCGTTTCTTTCCTGCAATAAAACACCTAGTGTAGGATGCAGTAGCACCACCACTAAAATCAGAAGTTGGGTATATTATTTCAAATTAGGAATTTAAAAAATGAAATAGTGGCTTGAAATTATGACTTAAATACCCACTGACTCCTTAAATATGTGAACAATAATTATACCCTAAAATTTCCATTCAAATACAGAATAGTTATAGGGGATTTGGAAGTTTATCACTGTAAGTGTGTACTAAAAATAAACTATTTGGATTTTCTCCTGCATAATATTTTCCTCTGGGGTTTTTATGTTGTTTTAAGTAAACTATTTTCAATTAATAAATGTTAATAAACTCATTAACATGCACTTAACATGCATTAACATGCATTTAAGTGGTTCAGTGACTGAACAGTAGACAAAATTAAAATATGGCAACATATGCCCTGTTATTTGGCATTCTGTGCCCTCAGACTGACAGTAGAAAAAGCTGTAAGACTATACCATACTCTATTTTGTAGGTGCTTAATAAATTTTATTGAAGTAAATAGCCTAAACCACAGAGATAAATGTTATCCGCAGTTAAATCCACTTGCTAAATATGCCAATTCGTTTTATGGCTTTACAGAAGATCAGAAAACAGTTTTTCTACTTTTCTTTTTAGAAAAGGCTGCACTAACAATTTGTATTGGAACCAGTAACATTAACAAAAGGAAGAAAAAGGAGAAAACACTCTAAATCAGGGGTTGGCAAACTTTTCTGTAAAGGGCTGAAGGGTAACTAGTTTAGCTTCCTGAGTCACACAGGCCCCGCCACCACTACTCAGCTCGGCCGTCCTAGCACAGGACCCGCTGTAACTTCACCCAAACAGGCACTAAGCCTGATACGGCCCAGGCCTCTGTTTGTCAGTCCCTGACTTCTGTGGTCCTCAGGCCTCACAGTGCCTCAGGATCATTGGGGAGTGTTTCTAAAATACCAATATGTAGGCACCAGCCCCCAGAGGTTCTTTAGGGTTTTAATACTCCTCAGGTGTTTCTAATCTACAATCAGTGCTGAAAACCAGTGTTTTTAATACTCATCAGGTGATTCTAATTGCAATCAGGACTCAGTCACTCCCTTCAGTGTCCCGGGACTTTTCCTAGCTGTCTTCAGTAGCAGTTTTTACCAAATGCTTTTCAGATCTTAACATGACACTAACACTGTTTAGTAATTGGGAATTTCAATAGGACTCGTTCAATGAACGGAGTAGGCAATGGCAGCCCACTCCAGTACTCTTGCCTGGAGAATCCCATGGGCAGAGGAGCCTGGTAGGCTACACAGTCCATGGGTCGCTAAGAGTCGGACATGACTGAGCGACTTCACTTTCACTTTTCACTTTCATGCACTGGAGAAGGAAATGGCAACCCACTCCAGTGTTCTTGCCTGGAGAATCCCAGGGATGGGGGAGCCTGGTGGGCTGCTGTCTGTGGGGTCACACAGAGTCGGACACGGCTGACAGGACCTAGCAGCAGCAGCAGCCGTTCAATGAAGGAAAAAAATGGAACCCCAGAGACCTCACTCTGTCTGACCTGCACCTCCACAGGCTTTAATCAAGTAAGTCTCTGACCTTGTCTTGTTCTTAACTCTTCAGCACCAGTGGTTGTCTTTGGAGGAACTTACCACGTTGGGTTCTGTTCTCTTCTAAGTGAAATGGAAGCACATTGGTGATAGTGGAATTCATTCATCTCTTTTCAGATTTTCTAAAAACTATACTTTATGATATGTGAGGTGCTTATTAGCGACTGAAACATGGACCAGAGGAAAGTCATTGCCTCTCGAATGGTTGGACTCTCCAAAATTTCACTTATTAATATAATTATCAATTCCAAGAATTCCAGTATTTTAGTCTTTATTTCAGTCTTCAAAGTAAGCACTGAAATTCCAGGCAAATATGTCTTGGTTGGGGAGATTGGTGTTAAAGTGAAGAGTAGTTTTCAAATCACTCTGTGTCTTTTTTCCAATCCTCCTTTTCAAAGGTCAGGACTCACTTTCAGCTGGAAAATAAGTGTTCCTCTCTGTGCTCTGAGGTATTCAAACTTTTGGGGAAAAGGATGAGGTACATCCACCATACTACCGTCTCCCAGACTGACAGCTTTGAGTGGTGTCACTCAAAACGGGGAAGGGATCGCCTCTTTCTCACAACTCTTCTTTCTCCTCTTCTGTACAGATGCAAGCTGCCCGCTGACTGTTCATAAAGGGCCGGCAGCCCAAAGTCCATACAGTGTTGAACACAGTATCAGCCAGGGAATCACAGGCTACTTGAAAAAGATTAAGAGAAATATAAGGGTTACTATACAAGACTACCCCAAGTAGTAGTTTGAGTAATTTTGAAGAGGCAGTATATTTCCAAGGATAACATGATACCCAGAGGAAAGTTAGAAGCAGTGACCCAAATACAGAATTAAAAGGAAAAAAAAAAAGATTTATGAAAAGCTTTTTCAGAGAAGCTTCTATCCAATCTAATAAAGCAGAACACACTTTGAGATGCCCTCCTTTTATGGGGCCTCCAGGTCAAAACCATGACTAGCAATCAGAATCTCCCACATCACTATGCTCACTCCATGGAAAATTACATTTTTTTTCCAGAAGACTCAAATAACACTGCTATGTTTCCTATAGCTTTCCCTATTCAAGTGTGGGATAAATAACTAGGTTACTAATATTCTGTGAAAGTTTTGTGCATCTGTATTCATCAGGGATATTGGCCTGTAAATTTGTGTGTGTGTGTGGTGTTCTTATCTGGCTTTGGTATAGGTAAGCCTGGCCTCATAAGACTTGTTTGGAAGTTTTCCCTCCTCTTCAATCTTTTTTTTTTTCCAGTTTGACTGCCCAGTCTTAGTTGCAGCTTGCAGAGTCTTCACTGCCACATGCAGGATCTTTAGTTGCAGCTTATGGGCTCTTAGTTGGAGATGTGGAATCTAGTTTCCTGTCCAGGGATCAAACCTGGGCTCCCTGCATTGGGAGCACAGAGTCTTAACCACTGAACCACCAGGGAAGTCCTGTCTTCAACTTTTTGAAAGACTGAGAGGGCTTCCCTGGTAGCTCAGATGGTAAAGAATCTGCCTGCAATGAGAGAGACCCAGGTTCAATCCTTGGGTTGGAAAGATTCCCTGGAGAAGGGAATGGCTACCACTCTAGTATTCTTGCCTGGAGTATCCCATAGACAGAGGAGAGGATTGTTATTAACTCTTCTTTAAATGTTGAAGCCGCTTAAATAGCTGATTAATTTTTCTTTGAATGTTGAAGCCACTTTAAAAGTGAAGCTGTCTGGTTACCAACCAGGAACCTCACCTGAATCTAGAGTCCAGGGATTTTACTGGGCATCAGTTACATAGGCATATGATGCTTATGTGACTGATTTCACTGGTACTGGTACTGTACTCTGTACAGTACTCCCAGTACTGTACAGTCACTGGTACTCCCAGACCCCTAGAAGGAAAGCAGGTATTCACCATAAAATACACTGATTGTATAAGCCATCTAGACCAACTGGTATAGTTTGGCTCAAGATCTCAGGCATCCAAAACATTTCATCAGTCAGAATTTTCCAAGAGTTCACTTCCCCAGAGCTGATGAAGGGCTAGTCATCAGCTAGCATGGCTAGAAAATAGCCATTTCTTGGGAATGTGCAGAGTTTTAATAACCCAGATCTTTTGGGTTAGACACTTTCTGTATGACATGGAACATATATAACAACAGAAATCAGAGATAAGAGAGGAAATGGTAGAGAATAATGTTCTTGGCTAAATTTGAAGCATCAATTTCAAAATAATGATGCAAGTTTTTTCATGTCTTTTAGTATTTTTTGTAAATTTCAATGACTTCTCTTAAGAAATAATGCTTATTAATAATTTTTTTGAAATTCGATGTTTTTGTTAACTTCATGTAAAATTTATCTCTAATTAAATTAACATATATAGAAATTTTCCACCTTTTAGAAAAAAAGTGAAACCATCTGATCCTAAGTTTTTTGTTTGTTGGGAGATTTTTGATTACTGATTCAGTTTCCTTACTAGTAACAGTTCTGTTCAAATTTTTCTATTTCCTCATGATTCATTCTTGATAGGTTGTTTGTTTTGTGGAATCCATCTGTTTCTTCTAGGCTATCTAACTTGTTAGTGTATAATTTTTCATAGTAGACTCTTATGGTCCTTTATATTTCTGTGATATTAGTTATAATGTTTTCTCTTTTATTTCTGATTTTCTTTTCACCCCCCTTTTTTTATTCTTGGCAAATGTAGCTAAAGTTTTGTCTATTTTGTTTGTCTTTAAAAAAAAAATCTCCTAATTTAATTGATCTTTTCTGTTGTACTTTTAGTCTTCATTTCATTTGTTGCCAATCTGATCTTCCTTCCTTCCTTCCTTCTACAATCTTTGGACTTAATTTGCTTTTCTTTTATTGGTTCTTTGGGGTGTCAAGTTAGGTTGTTGATGTGAGATCTTATTTCTTGATGTTGACATTTATTGCTATGAACTTTCCTCTTATTAACAGAACTGCTAGGAAGGATAGTTAGGGAGTTTGGGGTTGACATGTACACACTGCCATATTTAAAATGGATAACCAACAAGGACCTACCAACAGTGAACTCTGCTCAATATTTTGTAACAACCTGATTGGGAAAATAATTTGAAAAGAAAGATAAATGTATAGGTATAACTGAATCACTTTGTTGTACACTTGAAACTAGCACATTTTTAATCAAAAATACTCCAATATAAAATAAAAAGTTTAAAAAAATTAAAATATACCCAAATAAGTGGAAATAAATCCATGTTCAGTGGTCAGAAAACATAATTTTAAGATGGCAGTATTCCTCAATTGGATCTACAGAGCCAACAAAAGTCTTATCAAAATTTCACCTGCCATTTCTTGAAGAAATTGACAAATTGAACCTAAAATTCATGTGGAAATGAAAGAGATACAGAATATCTGAAAAAATCTTGAAAAAGAACAAAGTTGAAGGACACTTCTTGATTTCAGATTTTACTACAAAATTAAAGTAATAAAAACAGTGTGGTATTGGTATAGATCAATAGAACTGAATTGAAAGTCTCGAAATAAACACTGCATTTATGACAAATTGATTTTTTTCACAAGGGTGCAAAAACAATTTAATGAGGAAAAGAATAGTCTCTTTCAACAAATGGTGCAGGAACAAGTGGTGGGAAAGAATAGTCTTTTATTTAACAAATGGTGTATATACATATACAAAAGAATGAAGCTGGATCTCTTTCTTACACCATACAGAAAAATTAACTAAAATGGATCATAGATTTAAATATATGAGCTAAAACAAAACTTTTAGAAGAAAACATAGTGACTTTGAGTTTGGCAAAGCCCTTTTACATATGACATCAAAAGTATAAGAAATTCAAAAGATAAAAATGGACTTAAGCAAAATGTAAAACTTCTGGACTACAAATTATATCATCAAGAAAGTGAAAAATCAACCCATAAAATGAGAGAAAGCATTTGCAAGTCATATATCTCTTAAAAGATTTACATCCAAAATATATGAAATGTCTTATGACTCAATAATAAAAAGAGAGCCCAATTTTAAGGGTGGCAAATGAATAGACATTTCTCCAAAGCAATTATCTAATGGCTAATAAGCACATGAAAAGATGCTCGACATCATTAGCCGACAGGGAAATGTAAATCAAAACCACAATGAGATATAACTTCACACCCAATAGGGTCTATAATAAAATAGATAGATAATAACAGGTGTTGGCAAGGATGTGGAGAAATTGGAGCCTTGCCAACACCTGTTATTATCTATTTTATTATAGACCCTATTGGGTCTTTATTTATCCATATAATGGAATATTATTCAGCAATTAAAAAGGAATGAAATACTGATGCACACTACAATATGGATAAACCTTACTAAATGAAAGAATCCGGTCACAGAAGACCACATATTTATAATTCCATTTATATGAATTGTCCAGAATAGCAAATTTATAGAGACAGAATACTAATGGTTGCCTAGAACTAGACAGGGGAACATTGTGGTGAGACTGCTAATGGCTCTGAGATTTCTTTGTGGAGTGATGAAATTGTTCTAAAATTTATTGTGAGGAGTAACTTGACCTGACCCTAGATTAGCAGCAGGCATTTTTCACCTTTTATAGGTACAGATAGAAGATAGGAAAAAAAAAAAAAGAAGATAGGTGCATTTACAGAGCCTCATTAATTATTCACATTTTCAAGTCTATGCACATTCACTTTAGAACAACACTCTAGACATTGACCTATAACAGGATCCAGGATTCTCCCTGTGGCTGACTTTCCCAGTAGCATAAAGCCAGCTCTTCATAAGCCTGAATTTCAAACTTTACCTTCTAAAAGTATGCAACACTAATACTTGGATATATTGTTTGGGCTTCAGAAACTCAAGAATTACAATTTTCCTAAGATAAGTTAGGAAAAAGAAATTATAGAATCACTGCTAGAAGTTAGGCAGCTAAGCAGTCATTTTAAAATAATTATCCTCGAGGATATAGATAACTTTACACAAAAAGAAGATAGGTTTTAAAAAATTCTTTCTCTTACTGAGAACAAAATAAGGAGAAAAAAAAAAAAGCTTCAACCCAACCCCATAGACCTATACAGAATAATTCCTGATATGGAAAATTATTTAACAGTGGAATGGATAATGAAAGCCAGTTGGGCAACTCTTGCTGTGGTCTTAGAGGATAGATTTTTATCCTCTGGGAAGGCCTTGGTGTGGCCCTGTCCATCAGGAGTGGCGCCAGCAGCTCCTGGGCAGGACAGCAAGAACTTTCATGAAGGATTGCCCAGAGTCTCCCTTCCCCCTTGCTTCACTGGTCACAGAGTTCTATAAAGAAAGATCAGTGAACTCTGATGGTCTCTTTGAGTAAAGGAGCTCTGGTTACATTTCTGTGTGAAAACAGGTACCAGCCTCTCTGCTCACAGGTCAATGCACTTAAGATACCTACCTTCCACATTGGAGACAAAGCCCAAACTCCGTTTAAGGTCAGAGCAGATAGAGTGGAGACACCATCGGAATTTTGCATCACAGCGATACTTGTTGGCACCACAAGTGTCGTAACAGATGTCCAGCTGGTTGCAGCACTTGGTCATTGCTGGAATGCCCAAGTCCATCTGAAGAAAAGTGAAGGAAGAAAATGCCACGTTTAGACCAAGGACCTTAGGCAACCTTGCCTACCTTGTTCTCAAATTCCTGTTACAGATTCAGATCAGTTCAGAAGCACCAGATGACAGGAAAGAATAGATCAAGTTGACAGTCACAGGATGCTAAGTTTTGATCAGGATCTAGCCATTAGTCTAATAACTTTAAATGGCCCCCTTTTCTACTTTTTCTTTTAGATTTTAGTAGTTTTCAAATTCACAGGCTAAAATAGAAAATCAGAATGTTACGCAAGAGGGCAGAGCTTCCATACTTTCAAATTCAACTAAAACCTTTACTTTGTGAGATTTTTTTTTAAACCAAAGATTCCAAGGCTCAGAAGTATGAAAAATTAAGCCTTAGTTCACAAAGAGGTCACCAGGATTTTGCAGGGACCCATTCCATGCAGCACTGTTTTAAGTGTGTGTATCTGTTTGTAATGTGTTGGGGAACAGAGTAGGGTATAGAACATAGTTCCTGACCACAAGGGGACTACGATCAAACAACTTCTAACATATATATACACATACACATTTATAAAGTATCCTATAAACAATTATAACTGTCATAAACTAAGTTCATAGACTTCCACACACAGAGATATCAAATGGGAATTTTTGTAGAGGATTATTAGATGAAGATATATTTAAGATGTAACAAGTAAAGAAAGGAAGTGATAAGCAAATCATATATAAGCAAGTCAACCTGTTTGTTTAGTCATTCAAGGGTCTTATCAGTGTGATATATGTTTTTTATTATATGTACTTTTTAATTAGGGAGAAAGACAAGTTGATAGATGGCCTTGACTTCCAAAGTAACAAGTTAGATTTGATTGGGCTTCCCAGGTGGCATATTGGTAAAGAACCTGCCTGCCAATGCCAGAGACATAAGAGATGTAGGTTCCATCCCTGGGTTGGGAAGATCCCATTCATGTATTCATGACCTGCAAGAAGTCATGGCAACCCATTCATGTATTCTTGCCTGGAGAATCCCATGAACAGAGAAGTCTGGTGGGCTACAGTCCATAGTGTCACAAAGAATCAGACATGACTGAAGCAACTTAGCTTGCATGCACTTGAAGAGGGAAGGGACATGGTACAATAAGTGATTAAAGAGAAATAATCAGAGGAGAACAAGATGGTGAAGGAGTAGGTGGACATGGAGTACATCTCTCTCCACGATTACATCAGGAATACACCTTTAGACACAGAGATGCATGCAGAACACCAGCTGAGAGCTGACAGGAGTACCTGACCAGGAGAAAAGAATATATAGAACCATGCAAAACTCCGTAGGACGAAGGAACTAGGGGGAAAAACAGGAGTGTTAGTAGGCCCTTGGCCAATGGGGGAACTGAAGCAGGGATCCGATCCCCACATCAGGGCAATTGTCTGAGTCATAGGAGAAATGTTTAAGGCTGAGAGTGAAACAGCTGATCTGTGGCAGCCTAAAGGGGATGAGAATCAGACAGTCCTTGCTGCAGCCATGCATACCCCGGACAGGGACGCTGGTCCCCTGGAAGGTGTAGCAGCTGGGAGCTGGAGTTTAGGGATTGTGGAGCAATACCAGGGCAAGGGCTGCTGTTGACTGCAGAGAGAAAGATGGGGGCAGGAGGGAGGTATGGATGTGAGGAAGGAGACTGGTGGGAAATGCCTGTGGAGGAAAGCCAGGCAGTCATGGAAGCAAGGCGATAGTGCTGAGTCATGTGGAGGGGGTGGAGCCATCACCATAGCCTCTCTTTCCACACACACCAGCATTGGTAGCTGAACAATAGAGGCTGGCCCATCAAACACCTGAGGCACTGAAAGACAGAGTAGGGCCCCAGCCAGGGGGGTCCCTCTATCTGCCTGATGCACCGAATGACAGAGAAAGACCCCAGGCAAGGGAGCCCTCTAAGTCCCTGAATGGGCAGAGCTATGGAGAAAGACTGGCCAAAGAGGCCTTCTGATCACCAGCAACAAGAGGGATGACCCAGAGGGATGGGATGGGGAGGGAGATAGGAGGGGGCTTCAGGATGGGGAACACATGTAAATCCATGGCTGATTCATGTCAATATATGGCAAAAACCACTACAATATTGTAAAGTAATTAGCCTCCAACTAATAAAAATAATTGGGGGAGAAAAAAAAAGAGTCAAAAAAACAAAAGATTCTGATGGGGCCATAACTCCTGCAGCGGAGGCAGTCCGTGTCCCTGCACACTTGGCATCACCAAGGTCCCCTCAAGCCAAGCAGCTGCGCCACATTCACCCTCAACTCTCACTGGGGCAGAGCTGCCACAGGCAAAAAGAGTTTTGCATCTATGTGCACAGGGTCACTTTGGTAGTGTCTGACTTCGCAACTCTGCAGACTGTGGCCTGCCAGGCTTCTCTGTCAGGGAGGGGGGTTCTCCAGGCAAGAATACTGGTGCATATGGGCCAATACTGGTTGCCATACCCTTCTAGAGCACTATGTTTCCTGCTCCTCTAGCCACCAACTCCCCTGAGTACCTGGAGCTGCCAGAACCCCCACAACCCAAGCAGCTACACCACCTCCACACCTGGCCCTCAGAGGGGCAAACCCAAGTCCTCCAAGGCAGCCTCAGGAGCAAACCCCAATGGGTGACCCATATCCCGAGGTGTAAAAATAAATCACAGTTGAAATCCAGGGGCAGTGTGGCTAAGGAAGAAGACCCAAAACCTTCCCACCAGCTGTACGAGCTGCAGATTAAATCCACACAATCAACCAGGCAGATTCTGTGTCTATGGAATATGTAAAAGGTCATTGAGAGCTCCCACAAAAGAAAACACACTAGTTCTGATAGCTGTGGACACTGGAGGCAAGAACATACAGGAGTAGGACTAGCTTAGAATCCAAAACAAGACATGAAATCCTTCTACCAATTTTTACATGAAGTTTCTTTTCTAAAGTGAAAAAGGTAAAAGGGTTTCTGAGGGGTCTTTAAAAAATTAATTATTACTTGTTTTTAGAGGAAGCTGATAGATTGAGAAATAGTCAGTGGCAAAGTGAAAAATGTTTTAGCCAGCAGCTGGTTGGCAGGGGATGATATGTGTGTGTGTGTGTGTTTACAGATTTCTATGATGCTAATACTCCAAACATGATTGATTTAACAGTTCAGACATGAAGTCGGCCACTTGCAAAAGTCCTGAGGATACAGCAATCAGCCCTCACTGGTCAATACCAGCTTGCTCCAGTACATCTCTAGAAAGTCTCACCAATTTGAAGAAGTCACACTTGTCCCATCTATTTCAAATTAAGTTATGCTTGGTTTGCTAAGGCTCAGCTGATGTTTGCACTGGCGATGCACTGGTGACTTCAAAGTTCACTACCCAGTGGCTAATCTGAGGGACAGCTGCATCTGAGAAAAGGAAATCAGATGCCTTCTTTGAAAATTATCTCCTTTTCTCTGTATCCAGTTTAAAATACTAATTATATTGCTCAACCATATTCCATAAGTGATGAGTTCCATCAGAGAGACCTCTTAGATTAGTCTCAGTCAAAACCAGTCAACTAAGAAAACAATGGTGGTGTACATACTCTTTCTGGTACCTTGAGACCCAGGAAATAGGAGCTGCAGCCATTGGGCTCCTGAGGCTTGTAGCCAGGTCTGGGCATTGGTGTCTTTCCTAGCAGGGGAAAGAGAGGAAAGAAGCAGGAAGAAGTGTTTAGAAATGAAGCATTTGGAAACATTCATCAAATAAAATTGTGTAAAAGTATATTCAACTTTTCCTTTAAAAGGCACTGCTCATCACTGACTTAAACTAGGTGGTGATAATGACAGTGATGATATCATAAAAAGTAATAATCTCCAGACCAGACTGGCACTTTTCTCCCAATCTTGAAGAGTTTTATGAGCATTAATTTACTAACAATTCTAACATTTCTTACATGGGTGACCTTGAAGTCCATGGCAAAACCAAACTAAAACTTAAGGTCTCTCATTCTTCTATCCACTGTAAGACCACATACTATACACAAAGACCACCACCTGATCATACACTTAAGGGATCAGAATTAAAATAATACTACAAACATTTTTAGAATAGCTTGAAGGAAATTTTGCAAGATTCCATAAATGTAGGCAAAGCATTATTTACCAAAATACAAAGAAAACATGCCTATACAATATCGTAGTTGTTTATGTCATAGAACTAAGGCAAAACTATCTGAAAAGCTTTGGATTTCTTGGTTTCTCCTCCATGGCTTTTGGGTTATTTTATAGTCTTGCAAATATATACAGAGAAGCCTTGTCAGTGTATCAAGGGTAGTCATTATAGATAAAGATAACCTTGACCTTAGATGACCTCAGAACAGTCATCTGCAGTGAGTATTTTTATGCCATTATCCAGGTAAGAAATATGGGACTAAGAAGTTTAGTGACTTGCCTGAGTCATATAGAAAGTGGGAGGAATTGGGATATAAATCCAGTTTTCCTGTTTGTCTCCGAAAACCATGCTCTTTCCTCTTATTCCTCTGCCTCTTATAGGAGATGCAAGACATAGCAAAAGACTGAGGAAATAAGCCAAGAATTAATCTCCAAGTGAGACACATGGCATTTCTTCTTTCTCTTCTGTAATTTTATCCTATCAGGTATTTTATTCTTAATTATTTTTTATTATGAACTATTTCAAAACTAAAGTCAGAGAAACAAACACCTATGTACCCACTACACAGAGACAATGAATGTCAATGTTGCCAAACTTGCTATAAATTTTTTTATGCTTAATTAAATGTTATAAGTATAGTTGAAGTCTCTTCACACCTCATCTTTCTGTTTTAAGTTTTAGATGCTAAGTCTATGCTTTAAAGCTCTCCCTCCTTTTATTCTTAAAAATTGTCTTGATTACTCTTGGACATTTACTCTTGCATATGAATTTGAGAGTCCACTTATTACATTCTACAAGAGACAGCGTCAGGATTTTTATTGAAAATACATTGAATTTACAGATTAATTTGGAGACAACTGAATTTCTTAGAATATTCTAAATTTCCAGACATGAGCTAATATAGCTTTCCATTTACTTAGATCTTTCTTTATGTCTTTCAATAGAGTGTTATAACTTACTCCATATGTTTATTATATCTCCTACAAACTATATTATTCAGATGCTTAAGCAAGATAGAATATCTTAAGAATATCAGGATCTAAAATTAAGGCTCAGAAGGCTGGAATGATGTCTGCCCTTTTCTGGAACCGAGGCTACTTCTAACCTTCTGCTCCACCAGCCCTGGAATGTAGCCCTGGGTCCCATGATCCAAGATGGTACTTCAACCAACACATCCATATTACAAATAGCAGAATGGAAGAAGGAGGTAAAAAGGTCAGAGGCCCTCTCTTTAATAAACCCATTCCAGACTGTTACACACATCACTTCCTCTTACTTCCCTTTGGCCAGACTTTAATCATATGGCAACACCTACTTCAAAAGTGGGCTAGGAAATGAAGGTTTTTTTTTTTCAATGTAGGCAGGCATGAGCCCTGCTTGAAGTTGGAAGGAGCACTTATGAATGTAGAAAAAACGGGGCCACTAAGAAGTCTCTGCCATAGAGGGAGGTGGGAGGGGGGGACCGGGATGGGGAATACATTTAAATCCATAGCTAATTCATTTCAATGTATGACAAAAACCACTGCAATGTTGTAAAGTAATTAGCCTCCAACTAATAAAAATAAATGGGAAAAAAAAAAAAGAAGTCTCTGCTGTGGTCTGTTTGGGTATTTGTCGCTGTGGTACAACGTGTTTATGAGACAGTGGCTCAAGACAGCTGTCAGTTTTCCCTGTCCTGGTGTATTTATACCTGTGTGTACTGTCCTATGGTTGGTCTGTGTGACCAACAGAATATGGCAGAAATGGAAGCATGTTGCTTCCAAAATTACATTATAAAAGACTACAAACTTCTGTCATGGAAAGGTCCATGTGGCAAAGAACTAAAGCCTCCTGCTAACAGCCCCATGAGTTTGGAAGGAGATCTCTAGCTTCAGTCATATCTTCAGAGACTGTAGTATCAACAGGCAGTGTGACTAGAACCCTTATTAGAAACTCAGAGCCAGAACCACCCAGAAGAGCGTCTAGATCCCTCACCCTGTGTGATACAATAAATGTTTGTTAAATGTTTGTTATTTTTAGCTGCTAAGTTTGTGGGTCACTTGTTTCTCAGCAATACTTAACTATTGCAGTTGCCATTATGATTTGAATCTTTTTTCATTACATCTTTTTCTACAACAGCTTTATTGAGATAAAATTCACATATTATATATTCACTCATTTAACACAATTCAGTGGGTTTTAGCTGTGAGACCATCACCATAATCTAGTTTTAGAACATTTTTATTATCCCAGAAAGAAACCCAATACCCATTTTTAGAAAAATCTCCATCTTTCATGTTCATCCACATTGTAGCATGTACCAGTACTTATTCCTCTTTATGTATGAATAACATTCCATTCTCTGGATCTACTACAGTTAGTTTATTCATCCACCATTAATAGAGATGGTATTTGTTTCCATGGTATTTTATTTTTGGCTATTTGTGAATAGTGCTGCTATGATCAACTGTCTTCAAGTGTTGGTTTGAATATCTGTTTTCAGTTCTTTCGTGTATATATACCTAAGGAGTGGAATTTTGGGGTCATATAGAAATTCTGTTTAACTTTTTGAGGAACTATCGCCTGCTTTTTTCAGCTGCTGTACTATTTTGTATTTCCACCAGAAATCTACAGAAGTTCCAATTTCTTCAGTCCTCACAATTTCACTACAGTGTATCTATAAGTGGTCTATATATCTGGAACAATCTGAAGGCTTGGGGTCTTTCACCTCTGGAGAATTCACAGCCCTTCTCTGAATTTTTAAGTTTCTTCATTCTCTATAATTTCTCCTTCTGGGTCTCTTTCTACTGAATCGTGAATCTTTTTGATCCTGTCCTTCTTGTATCTTAATGTCTCTTTTATATTTTCCCTATTTTTCCCTCTGTCCTGAATTTTTATTAGCTTCATCAATTTATTTTCTACTTTACTAATTATCTCTAGGTTGACTAGCTGCTAGATTGCCTGATATGTAACCCATCCACTGAATTGTTTTCTTCTGATGACTATAATTTTTATTTCTGTGAGTTCTATTTAAATCTTTCAAATCTATGTATTCATTTTCATTGTTTTATTTTTAAATTACATTTTCTATCCTTTTATGTCTTTAATAATTTCAAATGTTATGATTTTTTATCTCCAATCTTTGGGATGCCCTTTCATTTTTTAATGTCCGCTGACTCTCCCTCATTGTGGATTATCTTTTCAAATGGTATGTAGTTGTTTTCAGAAGGGCTTGTTTTTCTAAAAGAATTCCTGTGCCCTGAATCACATACTGCAGAGTAGTCCCTAATACCTTTTGCTGTGGCTCTAGGAGACTGAGGATAATTGAGACACACAGGTATTTGTTAATTTCTCAGCTTGGGGATACTCATACCAGGCCAACTGAAGAGATTCAGATTCCTCATCTGTACATAGAATATGCTTCAGGTAGTGATTTTTTAGTGGGTATTCATTCCTCCTCCAAGCCCCACCCCCAGGTGGATAGAAAGCATCCTTGCTGCTTCTAATCCCTTTTAAACAGACTAGACAGTTTCCCAGGCTCTAAACTTTCTGCAGACTGTTCAATTCCAACTTCCCAAACCTTACAATTCTTCTCCTCTCTCTGTATGGTCACTAAAGCACATTCCTCAGCCCATGGAGTCAATATATAATGTTCCAGGCTGACCCCTCCAAGGACCACAGCAGCACAAGCCCCTGCTACCACTCAGTTTTGCGTTTCCTCTTCATTTTGGGAACTTGAAGTTTCCCTTTCTTTCTTTCTAGCTTGAATGTATATATATTTGTTTTAATATTTAATTTCCACTCAGCCTTTCTTATTATTTGTAATGGAAGTGTCCTGTACTCGTTGACGGAATCTGCCAGCCCACCAGTGATTCCTCCATTACTTTTCAAAGGCCTTGAGAAACATAACTTAGTATTAATACTCTACTAACTTGTTGTGTGTGTGTGTGTTGGGAAGGGTAAAGTGTATTAAATAATACTAGTAATCAAATTATACATATGGAAATAATCACACAATTAAATGCGTATTATCTCTTGGAAGTGAGACTATGGTGATTTTATTTCCTCTTTGGGTTGTTATTTTACAAATGTTCTACTTATACTAGGTTTATAGAAATCAGGGGGAAATTTTCAGTAAACAAACAAATGCCTAAATTTGATGGTGAAATTTAACTCTTTTTCTGTTCAAGGGTTTTTGCCGCAGACTCAGTCCAGTTTCCTGAGTTACCCTCTGCTTTTTTTGGACTTAGTAACTCACAGAAGATAAAACTCCTAGTTTGAAAGATAATGAGTCACCAATTATAGACATGTCCTACCTGGCCTGCTATTGATGACAGTTACTTTTATTGTATTTAATGTTTCATGATAGTTGCAGAAAGTCTGTTGAGGAGTGAAGCTTGAAATAAAAATTCTAAGAAAAAAGTGATGGTTTGAGTCCAGACAGAAATTATGTACCAGATTCGCACGTTACAGTTGGAGCAGATTTGAGTCTTTTCAGTTTGATGTCTTTTCAGTTTGAGTCTTTTCAGTTTGATGTTTTGAGTCTAGGCATCAGTTATGCACGATGTCACAAACTAGTTTTATTTTGGGTTTTGGCTACCTATAGGAGACTGACCACCTGATTTTCTGGATCAGCTTGGCAAATACTGGTCCAAGTCAAGCCCATTGGCTGTTCTTGTATAACCTGCCAGATAAAAATAATTTTTATATTTTTAAATGGTTGGGGGAAAAGTCAAAAAAAGGATAATATTTTGTGACATATGAGACTTGAAATTGAAAATTTAGTGCTCATAAAAATTCTTTTCAGAACACAGCAACACTCATTCATTATGTATATTAGCCACAGATGCTTTCACGGAAAAACAAGCCAAAAACTGTTTTAATCTTGATGTGAGGATGGTCCTTTAAGCAAAACAAAAAATGCAAAAGATACAAAGGAAGTACCGATAGACTTGCTCTTGTGGAAATTCAAAACATCTGACTAAAGTGAAACACCACAAAACACTTAAGAGACAAACAAGGGAGTTAGGCATGGAATGAGACTTCTACCAGCAGACAGGTCTACTACCTTCTGGGCCCATCCGGTTTTTCTGTCTGTCACAGTGAAAATGTCTGGGGTTTATCACCCAGGTTAAGGGTTAAGCCACACGGGAGGATGTATACTTTCTCCCCACGCAGCTGGTTCGGCAGAGGCAGCTCTGTGTTCCACTAGGGGTTGACCTAGTGGTCAGAGTGCTGAATTTGAAGTGCACATTTTGTCTCCTGCCAGAAACCCTCAAACACAGCATGAGGAACACAGCAAGGGGGCAAAACAGAACTGTGATAATTTAACTGAAGCAATAAACTCTATTCCAGTCGCTAAAACAGGTTCAGTTACTGTATGAGGTCAAGTGAGCAACTAGTCCCAGAGATTTATCTGGACAATCCCTGTTTCAGTATTTAAAGTCCTTCGTCCCAGGAAGCACCGCCCCCCATCCTGGCAAACCTCAACAGTTCATCACCTTTCCTGAGAACAACCTTTGCCCTCTATGCCAGTTGCTCTTTCCTTTTATCAGGCTATACATCCTCTAAGAATCTGATGAAGGCTGTGAATTCTTTGCCTGGAAAAATACACAAACTCACAGGTTCATAAAATTCTGCTCTAAAATTTCAAACAGGTAAAAAGTTCTCTAGAAAATAAGAATGCTGATGTTTAAGGATACCTGCTTTCCTAGAACTTAACCCAAGGAGAAAATTATCCTTTTATCCAAGAGTGACAGTGTGCATGATAACTTAAATCATGATATACAAGACACAGAAACTCTGCCCCAGAGACCTTCATAAAGGCACAGGATATCTAAATCATCATTTGATGATTTCTTCCAGAAGCTGAGAGGGTGTTTTCCAGCCACTGGGATTTCTGTTTTTTAATTTTATATTGAAAAAGAATTGGAAGAATCTGATTGCATAGTTAACTTGTTCTCTAGACCATCTTTCTCAAACATTTATAAAATTTGGTACCTGACATGCTCTACTTGGTAGCTTGGGTCAGATGTAAAGAATCTGCCTGCAATGCAGGAGACCAGGATACAATCCCTGGGTCAGGAAGATCCCCTGGTGAAGGGAATGGCTACCCACTCCAGTATTCTGGCCTGGAGAATCCCATGGACAGAGGAGCCTGGTGGGCTGTTCCAGTCCATGGGGTCACAAAGAGTTGGACGCAACTGAGTGACTTTCACTTTCTAACAGCACTAATTCTTTATATACAGTGTCTTTAATTCTTATAACAATCTTGCAAGATAGATATTATTAACATTAGATATAAACATGAGGAAACAGAGGTTGAGAAAGTTAGGGAACTTGTCCAAGGTCACTAGCAATGAGATGTCCTGCGCCCCCCACCCCCAGATCAAACCCTTGATTTTTTCCATCAAAGTCTGGTTCAAGGACCATTTGTGCTGTCCCGAGCACAGGCCTATTGAATCAGAATCCCTGAGGTGGGAGAGGCAATCGTGTTCACATTAGTGCAGGCTCCTTAGACCGGGTGTGTGTACCATGTATGCTCTTGATTCATGTTGAATCTCTATATTTACAGCCCAATCCTTTGATAAATGCAGATTTTGTGTGTTAACATGAAAACAAACTGTAGGTAGAAGAAGTGTGACAAATAGTGTTGACAGGCTAGCAGGATACAAGCACAAATTGCCTGTCTGAACAACTATGGGCTGAAGTTCTTCCAGAATGATCCCTTAAATAGTGTTGTCTACTTTAGCCGCAATTTGTAATCACCTGGGAAACATTAAAAATAATGATATCTGGGTCCAACCTAAGGAGATTCCCTTTTAATTGATTCGGGCAGCAAGTGTTTTTTAGAGCCGCCCAGGTGATTCTAAGTGCTGAGTGAGGTAGGAACCACTGTTTTAAGTGGTGATAAGCACCTACCAAATGGCAATTTTTCTTGTAGACTAACTGTTGCTAAATTGTTCCTCCTGGAAAAAAAGGAAAAACTGCAGTTTTTAAAGCAGTTCCCCCCCCCCACCCCCCCCACCCCCGCCCAAGTGTGATCCCCAGCACCCTAGCAGCAGCAGGATCACCTGGGAACTCTTAGAAATGCAGATTTTCTGGCCCCGCCCCAGACCTACCCAATCAGTAAACAAGGGGTGGGGGTGAAGCAGTCTTTAAACAAGCTCTTAAAGGGATTTGCAGCACAGGCAAGTTCGGGAGTCAGTGCTTTGAAGAAAGTGTTTTGCACAAGAAATGTGTCACAAGGTAAACTGTAAAAGAACAGTTATTAGATGTTATCTGTTCAAAAGCCTGCTTGATTCTCAATCAACTTGAGAAGATAGTCTGTACTGTCTGGGTGCAGCTTTCAGGTTCTTGGCTCTCTGCATTCCAAAGGTAACAAGGTTTAACCCCCTCTTTCCTATATGGTTTTCAGGTCCCTCTTTGGACAGGTTCCATTTTGCAGAGTGACTGGAGTTATTTGCGACCCTGTAATCTCTCTGTTGACTATTCCCATCCCCCACCAGTGATTGCTGCATCGACTGACCCAGGTTGCACCAAACTTTGCTGAAATCTTTTAATGCCATTTTACTAGAGAAGAGGGTTTGGATCTTGTTTCCCTAAAGAAAGAGAAAAGAAGAAAAAAAATCCTGTTATCTATTTGCTAAACCACAGACTTAATAAGTCTTGTGTTGCCGCTAGGGAGGAAAGGAGCACCTGTATTTATTAAATACCTGGAGTTAACCCTTTCCTGAGCATGGTCTCTGTGACAAGGCATCTCTGCATTTGTCCAACACACCTTGTATAAAGACGTGGCTAGCAGTCCAGGTGGGCCCTAGCACAGGTTTACTCTTTGGAATCGTCACAGAGATGCTGCAGCTTCCTTTTTTCACTATCTCCCTCTGAGGTTAAAGCTTCTATTCTGTAAAAATTTTGGTTCTGGAATGTTAACCACAGTCTCTTAGTCACTTTCAGTTTGTAAGAAGAGTTCCCCCTGCTCAGGGGTAAGAAAGGAGTGCAAGACATTGGCTGAGCCCAGCAAGTGTGTGGCTTTTTTGAGTCTCTCTCCAAGCTAAGTTTTATCTGTTGTGTCTGGAGAGAATATTTCTCAAGTGTTTTCCTTCTAGGCTCAATCACTATTTTCATCTCTTAATCCCATGATGAAACATTTGATAAACTAAACAATGAAATGGATGCTGTTAGGAGACTGTGTATGCTTTCAAAAACATTGTCTTTGGAAGTTACCCCTTGCCTCCCAGCTGTAAGGTCCAGGGCCCCGCTTTCTGCTCCCATTACACTGAATTCCAGTGTGGGGGAAAGCAAGAACGGGCCTCAGGGTCTGCTGTTTTGCAGCTAGGCCTTCACGCAGCTTCCCATGTACCCTCTTTGCAACTTGGGCGAGGTAGTGCTCCTACCCATTCAGTTCCACATCCAAGACCAGGCCTGAGGGGACAGTGCGTCACTCACGGACTGATCCCTGGTGGGCAGAGGCGGTTGGCAGATGCCCATCTTGCTCACGTAAGGCCTCCCATTGCTGACTGAGGCAGGGACAGCTCTCTTGGTGCGGGGTGGGGGTGGGGTGGGGGTGGGATGGGTTAGGCAAAGTGATCAGAGACTGATACAGTTGGGAGGAAGGTGTGAACTGTACGAGGGTGAGAGGAGAATCCATTTCCAAGCTAGGCACAGAGTGACTGAGGAAGCTCAGAATTTTCCCTGAATGATCAGCTTCAGTTTTCAGACCCAGGATCACCTCACAAAGACATCCCCTATTAGTTTTCCTCCTTGCCACCTTTTTCTAAGTATCTACCTGCCTCAAAATAAACCCATTAAAATGGCCCCAGGGAACAAGTATTGCAAAACTCCTTGGAGTAGGTTTGCCAGATAAAACACAGGAAGTGCAGTGAAATATATATTTCAGATAAACAATCAGTAATTTGTCATTATAAGCATGTTCCAAACATCTCAAATATTTTAACAAATATTGGTTGTTTATTTGAAATTCAGAGTTCACTGGGAATTCTGCATTTTAATTTTCTGAATCTGGCAACTACCCTCTAAGAAGTGGATAACAGGGAAAAAGTGCATGAGAGATTGTGGCCCTGCTCAGGCTGTTCACAGGTCCACCAGCGATAGTTTCACGGGAAGAGAAACCGTGCACTCACCGTATCGGCACCTGTACTGACAGACGCCATTTTTCCCTCCCAGCAGCTCCAGAAAGGAATCGAAGTAGCTGTTGACAGATTCGAAGCTGCCCCGGATGTGCCGAAGGCCCCAGTCTGAATAGGACTCCTCTGCGTCAGGGCTGGTGTCACTCTGCGCCAGGCCACCAGCCAGGCTGAGCCACAAGATCAAGAAGCGGATGGCCCGCGTCATCCTGCAGCCAGGTGGGTGCTGAGGTCCCCCCTCAAACTCCCCCAGCCGGTGTCCCGGGAAGTCCAGGTGCACAGCCCACCGGGCAGATGCCAGGCAGGACTGGAAAAGGGATTACCTGGAACGCTCAATCTGTGTGTTCCCAGAGGTGGACTTTAAACACAGCTATGGAGGTTAGGATGAGATCAGGGCAATTAGAAAGGGCAAAGGTTAGGCAGTAGGAGGGCCTATCTGGGGGACGGCTAGTGAGAGAGCGAACACTTCACAGTGGATTCCCCGGCCCTGGAGCAGGGAAGTGAGTCAGCTTCTGGAGGCATAAGTTGTGGAGCAATTGGAATTCTACCCCAAACAAGCTGGTTAACCTACAGATTAGTTACAAGTTTGGTCCCCCAGGATCAGCCTTTTGACACAAAGGACCTGGCCACACCCCTAAGCCTATCACCTACAGATGGTGTTTAGTGAGCTACAGGAAGATGTATAAAAGACTCAGGAAACCCCCAGTGATGGTGAGTCAACTGTGCCACCTGTACCGGTGGTCTGGGTATTGTCAGAGTTTGCTCTAAGTGTCTGTGAATGCGGCATTCAGATTTAGCACCCCGCCTTCTGTGTCTGTGCCTGCTTGGCTCTCAGACTCTGTCCTCTAATCTGCCAGAGCTCCCCATCATAGCCAACCTACTGCTGGGGCATTCTTGCCTCTGTATTTACAGCAGTATTTTTATTTACACTCAGCTGCATCTGGTGTATCCAGATTGAGATAGAACTTGGGGAACTCAGCACTCTTAGTGTTATTCTTCCATTGAGTTGCTTAGAAGAGAGTTTATCAGAAACACTCTTTGAAATTTTAGGCTTTAAAAATGTTGACTGAAGTCTAGTGTTTTGGTGTCATCTTCAGTTTATACTTTGCTTTTAGTCATGTGAAGAAATAAATTTTATCCATGAAATCACTAGGCTAAAAAGTAATAACTATGGATCAAATGAGTCATTTTGCTTCTCTGTCAAGTCTGGAAATCACGGAGAATAGTGAATTAAATTTCTTCATTGTAGATAAGAAATGTATTTGTCTAAAGACTCCAGTAATGGTACTCATAAAATATTTCATATGAACAGCAGCAATGTCGCCAGTATTTTAAAGTACCTATACTTTTTCAAACCATTGTGTGTGTGTGTATTTTTATTTTAATTTAATGTGTGTATTTTAATTTCCCATCAGTTCTACAAAGAAAGGTAAACACCATACCCATTTGAGAGGTGAGAAAACTGAGATACAAATGACTCAAAAATAAACAGGCTATCAAGGCTGAGAGACAGAACCAGCTACATAACCGGTTAAAATGAAAAGTGTAACTCCTTTTCAAAAAGCAGGGGAAATTGCCATTAAAGGACCTAAAATAGAAAACTTTTTCCTTTAAAAAATGTTTTATTGTGTTATAAATATTGGGTAATAGTGATAACTGAGTAACAATATAAACTTATAAAGTGCAAAAATATTTTTGGTGTAGTTTTATATAATATAATATGTAATACTTTATTAATATATGACACCTTGATCATTTTTCTCACTTCTGCAAATTCATTCATTAAGTCATTAAAATTTATACTTTTAATAACTTCAGTTCATACAATTGAAAGCATTGCCAGGTGCTCTTGGTAAATGCAAGGTCTCAGATACTTTTTGATGATTTTTAATTTTGAGAAGGCTCTGCTGATCCAGCTGTCACTGCAGTATCCCCATTTCCTGATACCTTAAAACTTATTATGGTAAATGTTATTTATTCATCTTTACCATTTTAACTGTTTTTAAATGGATAATGCAGTGTCCTTAAGTACATTAAAGACATTCACGATGTTGTTCGGCTGTCATCATTATCCATCTCCAGAACTTTTTCATCATCCCCAGTGGAAACTATGTATGTTAAACAATAATTAACCATTCTTTTCCTTCAACTTCTGGCAACCGCTATTATCCTTTCTGTCCCTATGAATTTGTCTTTAGAAAGTACCTCATAGAAATGGACTGATACAATATTTGTCCTTTTGTGTCTGGCTTGTTTCATGGAGCATGTTTTCAAGGTTCATCCATGTTGAAGCTTGTGTCAGTACTTACTATTGTGTATATGATGCTGCTGTGAAATTAGTATACAAATCACTGTTCGAGTCCCTGCTTTCATTTCTTTTGAGTACATAGCTAAAATGAGTTTTGCTAGATCAAATGGTAATTCTACATTTAACTTTTTGAGAAATCATCATACTGTTTTCTACTGTGGCTGCACCAGTTACATTGCCCTCAGCAATGCACAAGTGTTCCGATTTCTCCATATCCTAACCAATGCTTGTTATTTTCCATTTTGTTTTTTGGCAATAGTCATCCTAAAGAGTATGAAATAGTATCTCATTGTAGTTTTGACTTGTATTCTCTAATGGTTAGTGATATTAAGCACCTTTTTGTGAACTTTTTGGTCATTTATATGTCATCTTTGGAGAAGTGTCTATTCAAGTCCTTCTTTGCCTAATTTTTTTTCCTCAGCTTCATTGAGATATAATTGGGATATAACATTATGTAAATTTAAGGTATACTTCATGACGATTTGATACCTATCTATATTGTACAAGGATTACCATAGTGGGGTTAGTTAATACCTCTATCATCTTACACACACACACACACACACACACACACGTATTCTTTTTCAGATTTTTTTTCCCATATAGGTTATTACAGGATACTGAGTAGAGTTCCCTGTGCTATGTGGGAGGTCCTTATTAGTTATCTATTTTATGTATAGTAGTGTGTGTATGTTAGCCCCAAGCTCCTAATTTATCATTTCATCCCACGTTTCCCGTTTGGCAACTGTAAGTTTCAAGATCTGTGAGTCTGTTTTGTAAATAAGTTTGTATCACTTTTTTACTAGATTCCACATTTAACTGATATCATATATTTGTCTTTCTCTGATTTACTTCACTTAGTGTGATGATCTCTAAATCCATCCACGTCATTGCAGATGGCATTATTCTGCTTTTTTTATGGCTTAGTGATGTTCTCTTGTATATATGTGCCACATTTTTATTCTTGTCTTTGGACATTTAGGTTTTTTCCATGTCTTGGCTGTTGTAAATAGTGCTACAATGAACACTGGAGGCATGTATCTTTTCAAATTATGGTTTTCTCAGGATATATGTCCAAGAATAGGATTGCTGGATCATTTGGCAGTTCTATATTTAGTTCTTTAAGGAAACTTCTTATTATTCTCCATAATGGTTGTACTAATTTACATTCCCACCAATAGTGTAACAGGATTTTCTCTTCTCCAAACCCTATCCAGTATTTATTGTTTGTAGATTTTTTGATGATAGCCATTCTGACTGATGAGGTGATGCCTCATTATAGTTTAAAAAAATTTTTTTTTAATTGGAGGATAATTGCTTTACAATATCGTATTAGTTTTTGCTGTACTACAACATGAATCAGCTACAAGTATATGTGTAGTCCCTCCTCTGAACCTCCCCCCCTCCCCCCCAGCCCACTCCCATCCTACCCCTCCGGGTCATCACAGAGTGCCAAGCTGAGAGCTCCCTGTGTTCCACAGCAGCTTCCCACTAGCTAGCTATTTTACACATGGGCGGGTATACATGTCAGTGCTGCTCTCTCAGTTCTTCACACCTTCTGTTTTCTATATCTGTGTCTCTGTTTCTGCCCTGCAAATAGTTACATCAGTACCATTTTTCTAGATTTCATATATATGCTACTATATGATACTTTTTCTGACTTCATTCTGTCTGACAGTGTCTGGGTCCATCCACATCACTACAAATGACCCAATTTTGTTCCTTTTTGTGGCTGAGTAATATTCCATTGTTTGTATTTACCACAACTTTATCCAGTCATCTGTCGATGGACATCTAGGTTACTTCCGTATCCTGGCTATTATAATAGAGCTGCAGTGAACCTTGGGGTGTGTGTGTATGTTTTTAAATTATGGTTTTCTCAGGATGTATGCCCAGGGATTGTTGGGTCATAGGGTAGTTTTATTCCTAGTTTCTTAAGGAATCTCCATTCTGTTCTCCATAGTGCTGCATCAACTTATCTTCCCACCAATAGTGCAAGAGGGTTCCTTTTCTCCACATCCTCTCCAGGATTTATTGTTTGTAGAGTTTTTGACTTTGATGGCCATTCTGACTGGTAAGAGGTGATACCTCATTGTAATTTTGATTTGCATTTCACTAATGAGTGATGTTGAGGATCTCTTCATGTGTTTATTAGCCATCTGTATGTCTTCTGTGAAAAAATGTCTGTTTAGGTTTTCTACCCACTTTTTTATTGAGTTGTTTGTTTTTCTGATATTGAGCTGCATGGGCTGCTTGTGTATTTTTGAGATTAATCCTTTGTCAATTGTTTCATTTGCTATTATTTTCTCCCATGTTGAGAGTTGTCTTTCACTGCTTTGGTTAAATTTATTCTGAGATGTTTTATTCTTTTTATGCAACTGTATATGAGTTTGTTATTTTAATTTCTCTGATAGTTTTTAGTGTATAGAAAGGCAACATTTTTATATATTCATTTTTATATCCTACAAATGTACTGAATTGCCCTATAGTTCTAATATTTTTTTTGTGTGTGTGGAGTCTCTAGAAGTTTCTATATATAATATCATGTCATCTGCAAATAGTGACAGTTTTACTTCCTCCTTTCTAATTTGGATGCTGTTTATTTCATTTTCTTGCCCAGTTGCTCTGCTAGGACTTCCAATACTATGTTAATAAAAGTGGTATGCACGGGCATGTTTGTCTTAATCTTAGAGGAAAGTTTCAGATTTTCTCCATTGAGTATGATGTTAGCTGTGGATTTGTCATGTGGCCTTTATTATGTTGAGGTACATTCCCTCTGTACCCACTTTTTTGAGAGTTTTTAATCATAAGTGGATGTTGGATTTTGTCAACTACTTTTCTGTGTCTCTTGAGATGATTACATGGTATTCATCTTTCATTTTGTCAATTTGGTGTATCAC